TTGCTCGGTTTACCGAAAAGCGCGACTTTTGACAAAATGCGAGCCTTGGAACATCGTAAAAACTTTATTTCAAAAACGTTTTGAAAGAGAGGGTTTTAAGGTCTAAAATCTTTTGATCAAGATTGTTTTGGTCCAAAAAAGGGTATGAAGTTGAGCTTTGACTCTCTCCTTGCCGAAGAAACTGAACCTTTCCCCTGCACACCTTTCTCCACCATGTAAACCATCAGTCGCGTCCAAGTCTTAAGGGTGGTAAAAAATGGAGTGTCTACACCCTCCGCCTCTTTGAAACCTTTGGCGTTGGCATCACCAACCTCCTTCTTAAGATCGGCTATTTCGACGTCTTTTTTGCCTTCAAGTTTGACCAACTTGCGCAAGTATTTGTCTTTCACCGTTGTAGCAATTTGTTGTTTTTCTGCTTCAGCCGAGCTAACAAGACTGGTCAAGTGACCGTTCTCAGATTGTAGCTCGGCTATCTGCTTCTTGGCTTGCTCAAGTTCGGCTGTTTTTGCCTCGGCATCTGCCATGGCCTGCCTGGTAGTCTTGCGGGGCTCCAGCACTTTCTTATGTGCAATGTTGTTCTTCTGAATGGCCTGCAAAAGAGTAGTGACTCTCTTTAGCCGGACTGACAGTTGGGAAAAAAAGTTAGACAAAGAAAACAGAGAGCCACCTACCAGGATCATTGATTTTGTTGATGACCGGATAGCCTTCAGCTCGGTGTTTAGTTGCTTGTTATGGTGCTCCATATCTTTTGGAAGACAAACACTCTTGGCTAGATTGAAAGTCATCAAGTGATCCTTCTCAGCAACAACCGAGTTAGTTTCTTGGATATTTCGGTTTTGGAAGGTGAGAATTGGAGCCCATTTGGAGGAGTCAGCTCGGTCAGATTGCTCTGGTTGAAGGCTAGGTTGAGGGCTCGGTGGAAGGATGGACTCGTCTTCATCGACTAGGCGTTGCTCGGTTTGGCTAGTCCGGGCACGCTTGTTCGCCCGAGATGAGGATGGCTGCTGGGATGGAAGGGCTACCACGGTCTCAGTTGTTTGGCTTGGTGGTGGTACCTCGGGTCTGTTAGTTTCGGTTAGAAGCGCCCTTACTCTATTCCTTTTAGCCATTTCTTCCTCAGCGGTCAGTGGGATTAGTTTGATTTCTGGCAAGGATGGGTCCGGTTCTGGGGCTTCCTCTAGCAGAAAATCGGTCACTCTCGCTTTTCGGCGGCCGCTGTATCTATAGGTCGGCTCGAACTTTAACAGTTTGGCCCAACTACGTTCTGGATACCGTAGTGCGGCGTGCAAGGTCGCTAGATCTGGGTAGCTGTATAGAGAATGGAGATAGGCAGAATCTGCGAAAGAAGACAACTGTTAGTTCGGCTGAAAGATTGAAAAACCGAAATATAGTAAAGCACGCAACAAAACTGAAGTAAGTATACCGGGTTCTCCTTTTTTCCAATTAATGCTTCGGCCAGGAATCTGGGCTTGGTGATCCTCAAAGTTCCCAGACACCCAGAAAAAATCGTCGTCATTCAAGGTTCTTTTGCATGGCTTGCAAAAGGGGAGATAGTAAAAATGATTAAAACCGAGCAAACAATCGTGATTCAGCAAACAAAACAAAGAGAGCACTTACTAGCACCATTGACTTAGTTGCTGAGCGGATGGCCTTGAGCTTGGTAAGGTGATCGTGGTGCTCTATGTCAGCGGCCAAACACACACTTTTGGCAAGATTGAAAGCGAGCGAGTGGTCCTTGTCTGCTGCCACCAAGTCGGTGCTAGAAACAGGCCGGTTCTTGTATGTTATCTTTGGTGCCCATTCAGAAGAGCTAGCTCGGTCAATATGGACAGGCTCAGGGCTTGGTGGTGTTATTTCAGAGGGCGGGTGATCCTCCTCATCAGTCAACCGTCACTGCTCGGTTGAAGAGGTGCGAGCACGCTTATTGGACCGAGATAATGAGGCCCGGGCTGTTGGAAGGGCTACCACGGACTCACGTGTTTGTCCAGCTTGTGGTGTCTCAGTTTGGTCCCCGATAGCTGGAGCTGTTGTTTCGGTGATGAGTGCTCTGACGGCTCTTTTCTTTACCATCTCTTGTTCCTCTGTTAGTGGGATCAGCCTAATTTGAGGAAGTGCAGGATCTGGTTCAGGGGATGGCTCAAGGAGAAAGTCAGTTACCCTAGTCTTCCTTCTTCCGCTGTATCTATAGGTCGGCTCAAAATTTAACAGCTTAGCCCAACTCCTTTCTTCAACATGTAGTGCGGCACGGAGTGTGTTCAGGTTGGGGTAACTGTACAAGGATGCAAGATGAGCTGAGTCTGCAAAAAGAATACAACTGTTAGATCGGTTGTGAAACCAGAAACCAAAGTAAAACAAAAGCATGCATATAGCCGAAGTAAGTTATACCAGGGATTCCTTTTTTCCAGTTTATATGTCGGCCAGGAATCTGGGCTTGATGATCCTCAAAGTTCCCAGATACCCAGAAAAAATCGTCATCGTTTAAGTCTTTATCTGGTGTATATTTTATTATCTTCTCTCGGCGACAGCGTATTCTTAAATAGTAGACCCATCCATCTTCTTTTGATCCTAAGGAATATTGGTGGAATATTTCGGCTAGACCGAGGTTAAGACCGGCTTAGCAGTTTAATTCGACTATTCCCATTATTATACGGTATGAATTGGTGGAAAGCTGGGTTGGGCATAGTCGTGTTTGTCTAAGGAATTCACAAATTAATGGCTGGACTGGAAATCTTAGTCCGGTTTCTATTATTGAAAGGAGAGTAAAAGGTACGAAGCCCTCATTCCCCATGGTGTGACATCTTTTTTGGCTAAGACAAGTTGTACGTCGTCGAGGATGTTGTAATCCTTTCGGGATTCGGCTAGGCCTCCAGGGGTTTTTACCAAAAACCTATACTTTCCCACTTATGTTTAAGTTATAAATAAATTAGTTCGGTCGGAAAACGGTGCTCAGTAGCTCGATTGAGCGCACAGAGGAGTGCCTGGGCAACCTAAGTCTGCAAAGTGGAAAACAAAGGTGTTAAGCACAGATCGTTGACCATGCTACAAAATCAAAGTAAAAATAAAGAAGTCCTACTTCGGCCTATGGGGGATGCTACAGGGTTTATCTCGGTTCAACAAAGTGCTTGGTAGCTCGGATTGAGCAAGGGGTTCGATAGATCGGGTTGTGTGTGGGACTGGTTTTATACGGTTTGAACTACGGGTTTTGTTACTTCGGTCAAACCTATAGGGGCAGCTTTCTTAGTTCGGTTTAAAAACTAGGAAAGCTGGCTTAGCCCCGAAGACTTAGCTCGGTCGAAGGCAAAGGTTTCCAGTTTGCTTAGTTCAAACTTAATTCGGTTCGTTTATCTCGATTAAAGTAAATCAGAAGGTGGTTTGACTTGGTGAAACTACTAGTTTTGTGTGAAGTGTTAGTCCGGTGGGTAGCCTGGCTATGCAGGCCCCAGCCACAAACAACTTTTTAGTTCGGTTATGTTGGGGTTGTGGATCAAAAGTGATGTTCTACAGGTTTCATGAAGTTGAGTGGTTCTATTACATGTTTTGCAGAAAAGACGAAGGCTAAACAGAAAAAGTGTTTGCAAAAAGCACACAAAACAAAATATGGATTGAACAAATACGAAAACAAAAAACAGAAAAAGTGTTTGCAAAAACACTCAAAACAAAGTACGAAAACAAGGAAAGCAAGATAAAAGTGCAGTGCTTACTAGATGAAGAGGCAAGAACTGGAGATGAGAGCAGCAGCAATGGAGAACACGAGCTCAGAGGTTGAAGAAGCAATGGAGGTTCAGAGAGAGACGTTGAAGAATGAATGGCGTAAGTGATTCTCTAGCCAAGGGTTGTTTTGTGAAAAGAGAAGGGGCAAAAGGCGGGAACTGTTCAAATTGTGCAAAGTACGAGGGCGGCGTGACAGCTGCGATAGGCCAGTAAGGGCGTGCCACGTGTCCTGGGAAGGAGAAGCGATTCAGTTGCTGTGATTGAAGAGACGTTTTGACCGGACAGCTAGAGCCCGGCGTGAATTTAGCTCGGTTGGATAGGCTAAAGGGTTTTTTAACTCGGTTGGATAGGTTAAAGGGTTTTTAGCTCGGTTAGAAAAGCTAAAGGGTTTTGGCTCGGCTGGAAAGGCTTAAAAACCTTAGCTCGGCTGAGAAAACAGGTAATCCCTATCACGCTATGCAGATGGAATTAAGGGGCAATTGAGAGGGTAATTTATATGAAAATTGGGTCGATTTGGGTAATGGGCCGTCATGGGCCGCAATACAAAGGGCTGAGTAAAAAGGCTGTAAAGTTAGTCCGGTCCAAAAGCCCCGAAGCTAGTCCGGCCCGGAGGAGACTTGAAGTTAGTCCGGTCTAAAGACACTTTGAAGTTAGTCCGGTCATGGCGTATTGTGGTTAGAACGGTCAGAACCTTGCTACTCGGTAGCTCGGTCTAACCACGCCATTTCTTTGTACATGGGAGAACCGATATAAGGTGTAGCGAAAGGAAGAACCGAACTAAGGATAGTTCGGCCTACTCAGTGGCTCAGCATAACCATGATTAATTCGGTCATATTGGAGTTCGGCCATGGTAAAACCATCTCACTTGGTTTAAGCAGTGAGGATGTGTTGAAGGATAAGCATCATCTTTCAAGAGTATGAATCTTAGGAGGACTCTGCATGGAGGAGTAGAAGCCCTACTAGGATTGTGCCACACGAAACCTATAAAAGCTCACAAACATCACCTTTGGAGGGGTAACACAAAAAGTTTACTTTCTGAATACACAGAGCATATTGTCTATTGTCTATTGTCTAGTTGCTGACTTAGGCATCGGAGGGGTTTCCGGCACACGCCCGCCGGCTAGCTCACGTTTGTGTTTTCAGGTGATAAAACGACGACGTATAGAGGAGTGAAAACTTGATCAACAGGATTATACGAGAAAATTTATTTCTTTCCCGTATAAATCTAAATTTAGGTAAATTAAAAAAAAATATATCTCAATCCGTCGACTTGAATTAACTATTAATACCGTTCGATATGTGACGAATTGGTTCGAACTAACCAACCATCATCACCATGAAGTCTGGTCTGCTCACTGCTCATTCCCTTCAATTCTGTGGCCTCGCTCCAACTCATCACAATCCCTTTCTCAGAACCCCTTCTTCTTCTTCTTCTTCTTCTTCTTCTTCTTCAAATCCCATCTCTGTTGTGACTTTGCGAATCAAGCCCTCTCGTTCTTGTTGGCTCACACTTTGTTCCTCCTCCATCCCCTCAAATTCGAATACCAAATCGACCACGAATCAAACAGAAGAGACTTCGAATCCTAATCTTGATGTAGAAGAGAACGACACGACACAGCAGAATCGATGGACAGTCCAAGTGGGAAGCCCCACTGTTCCGTCTCTTCCAATGTCCAAATTGAGCTTGAGCGATCAAGCTTTCTTTCTCCTGGCCTTCATTGCTTGCACGGTACCTGTTTAATTTTTTTTTTTTGTTTTTTTTTTTTTTTGTTGTTAAATTCAATTTTCTAGTTCTATACTCTTTGATTCTGAGTTTACCACGTACGAACTAGTTTTTGGATTATGCTTTGATAATGGGCAATTATTAAGATATCAATGATTTGAAAATGGGTATTAAATGTTCAAGAGTTGCTCTAAGGATTATGGGTTGTGGTTCAATCCGGGAGTGGGTTTCTTTGGAATTTACCTTTTCTGCTTGATTTGATTTTGCCTCTGATTTAATTTTAGAGTGTTTATGTTATGTTGAGGAAACTATTATAATCTTCTATTGTTTTAATCTCTCTTTTCTATCCAAACAAAAGGGGAAGAAGTCACAATCTTTTCTTTTCTTTTCTTTTATTTTCTCTTATAAATTACTAAATCATTTCTTTTCTTTGCTCTCCTAGTTACCAAACATAGTGTAAGTCACTCACCGTACCCTCTAGTATTTATGTCCATATTCGATAACCTTTTCTCCTACTTTTGTGTCTTGTAGGACGATACTGTGCTAGATTTCGTATTGCTATGCTTGTGTATGGTTTAGCACTCTACTTTTGATCATTCTGTCATTTTTTGTTACTCTTCCAAGGGGACTATTGTCTTGATTGTTTATGTGAATGATATTATTAGTATCTATGCTTGTGATTATATTGATATTGATGATTTGAAACACTGTTTGAGTCAAGGACTTGGGTGCTTTTCGCTATTTTGTTGGGATTGAGGGTTGCTTGTTCTTCATGGGGCATCTCTCTATTTCAAAGGAAATATGGACTTGATCTTCTATTTGAGACTGAGCTCTTGGGTGCTCAACCTATACTCTCATGGATTGTACTGTTAAGCTTGACGGTGAACACATGGAACTGTTTCTTGATGATGGTGTGGTTAGCTAGTATATGTATGCTACTCGTTGTCATCATTTTGAAGCTATTTGTTGTATCTCGTGTTACTTAACTAAAGACTTCACTTGGACGAGGACTGCCATATCGGCCTCCTCCTTCCTTTTGTCCTTGTTTATGATTAGCTTTTGTGATGCTAACTGTGCTGGAAATTGTACTGCGAAGCTATCCACTTCTAGCTATTGTACTTTTGTAGGAGGTAATCTTGTTACTTGGCACAATGAAAAGCTTAGCGTTGTTGTTCACTGTACTGTTAAGGCCTAGTATAGAGCTATGATTCATACTTCTCCTGAGATGTTAGGGTTCGATCTCTTCTTTAGGATCTTGGTATTCCTGTTTTAAATTCTATGTGAATGTATTCTAACAATCAAGTTGTAATATTTATTCTTAATAATCCTAATTTTCATGAGCGCACTAAACATATTGAGATTGACTGTCATTTTATTCGAGACTTGAAACATATTCGACTTCCTTTGTTCGCTCATGATCAATTGGGTGATATTCTCATGAAGCCATTAGCATGTTCTTCATTTAGCATTTGTCTTCAAAACGGGGCATGCTTGATTTGTAAACTCCGACTTAAGAGGGAGTGTAGAGTATTTCGTTTATTTATGTTATGTTGATGGCACTTTTGTAATCGTCTATTGTTTTATGGTAAATTACACTTTTCACTCAACTTTTAATAGAATTTCACTTTCGTTATTCATTTTCTAATTGTAACAATTAAGTCTTCAAACTTCAACCTTTGTTTCAATGTATTCCTTCCTCCGTCACGCACCATTAAAACATTGACAGTAAGTGCTCATATAATGGCCATATGAGCAAGTTTTAAAGGCATTTGGGGGGGGGGGGGGGGGGGTTCTACCTTGGCCTTCATGTTTCAACTTTCACTCAAATTTTAAACAGTGAGGTGACGGGAGGACGGGGGGGGGGGTGGCAAATTCTACCTTGGCCTTCATGTTTCAACTTTCACTCAAATTTTAAACAGTGAGGTGACGGGAGGACTACATTTAAACTCGGGGTGAAGTCTAAGGACTTAATTGTTGCAATTAAAAAGTTAGGAACCAAAGTGAAATTCAGGTGGAAAAGTGAGGGTGAAAAGTATAATTTACCCTGTTTTTAATATAACTTCCTCTAAGGTAGAGGAGGATTTGCTATATACCCAAAACCTATTTGTCTAATTCTCTTCTTCTTCTCCTCTTCTTTCTCTTCTAATTTTAACCCGAATTTCTCATATTTTACACTTCAACCATTAATATGCGTGTTCTGCTTTTTATAATATGATTAGTCTTTTTTCTTATCTTTTTCTTTTTCTTCTTTTTTTTTTGGGTGTGTGTGTGTGTGTGTCCTAATTTGTTCTAGTTCAGTACCTCAGTTATGATAATTTGGCTCCGTATTACTAATGCAACTGAAATGTGATGGATGCAGACATCTGTGGCCTTTATGAGCCTTGTTACTGCAGCAGTACCAACACTATTTGTAAGTTATGCAACGTTCTGCTTGGTAGCAATCTTTTTTGCTTTAATGTTTAAACCAACTATATGTGGGTTGTAGTATGTGTTTATTGGAACCTACATTACTCCCATGGATTCCCACAATGTTATTTGGAATAACTATTGTATGCATTGAAATGAAATGCATAAAACTCGATGATTTTCAGTGTAAGCATGTTCTGGACTTCCATTGATTAATTTATGAATATCAAGCTCAATCTTCGCCTCTTTTCAACTTGGGCACAGAAGAGGAGACAACATGTTAGCATTTGTGTTAGTGACACAGTGAAATAGTGCAGATACCAAAACTTAATTGTGATGGATTAGATTAGGGTAAATTACACTATTCACCCTTCAATTTTCATTTGGATTTCACTTTGCTCTTTCATTTTCTAATTGCAAAAATTAAATCTTGATGCTTCAATTCTTGTTTCAATGTAATCCTCCTATCACTCACCTTTGAGAAAATTGACAGGGAATGCTCACTGGCCACGTGAGCACGTTTTAATGCCATTTAGGGAAAAAAAAATTATGCAAATATTACACTTCTCACTCTCTTACTTTACCTCAAATTCCGCTATCGTCTTTCATACCTTAACTTTCATTCAAATTTTAAATGGTGAGTTGACAGGATGACTACTTTGAAATTTGGGTTGAAGTCCAAGGATTTAATTGTTGAAATTGAAAGGTAAAGGACCAAAGTGAAATTCATGGGTTCACTCTCTTCTTTAGTTTTGCTTCTTCTTTGTTTGGTTGGTTGTAACCAATGCCCATTGCCCAAGGCTTCTACCTATGGCAAGGTGTGGGAGAGGTTGTAGGTAGGCATCATTACTAGTGCACATGGCTCATAACTTTTTCTCTCTATTCTTTTTTTATCATTAGTGTTGCTTCACTTTTTTTTAGGCTGACATATGTTGAGGAACAAAGTTCCCCAGTAAAGAAAAAAGAAAAAAGATCTGCATGGTGGGGGTTTTTCTTTTTTAAAAAAAAGAAAGAAAGTAAAGCTCCCAACTTTCTTTACCTTGTGACTTGTCACAAATTGATGCATGACAAGGCCTTAACCTTAAGGTCCACTCTGTTATTCTTTGTATAAATTACATTTTTTGTCTTTGGAGCATGGCATCTATAGACTTAATTCTGTTTTCCTGTTTGTTTGTTAGGCAATGCGTAGAGCTGCAATATCTCTTTCAAAGCTGGCAGACACTGCTCGCGAGGAGCTCCCTAGTACAATGGCTGCAATCAGGCTTTCCGGCATGGAAATAAGTGATCTTACTCTAGAATTGAGTGACTTAAGGTAACATATCGAATTCTTCTGTATGATGTGTTGTTTTGAACCTGATCAGGAATTGTACTCCAAAATTAGAAGTATTACAATGAAGCCCCACACCTGCTTAAACAACAACCTTCTCTACCATGATTTCCTTGATTAGCAGCACTTGGGGCCATAAAAATGGTTTACTGTTTTGAATGGGCAAACAAAGTTTTTAACTCCCTAGACTGTTGATCTAAAATTTTGAACACTGGCTTACACCACCAAAATTTTGATCACCTAGTCTACTCCAAAAAATTTGAACATTTGGCCCACTCTACCAAAATTGTGAACACCCAGCTTACCCTGCCAAAACTTTGTATACGTTATCTGTTAAGCTATGTTTCGAAGACAAGAATTGAAAGGTGGAAAGAGAATCTCATTCTAGGTCTCCATTCCGTTGTTTGTGTGCATCCAAAAATAAAATGTGATTCCCAGTTAACTTCCAAACACATAAATTGGCAGACTCGAACCCTTGACCTGCTAGTGAAATGCAAAGACTAAGGGCCAACAAACTAGCCCCATTGGTTAGATGATATATATTGACAAGCGCAATTTATTTTATATAATTTGTAAAATTTAATCTTTTGAATGTCTACCTTGTGAAAAATTCTTGGACACAGGACTGCTTTGATTACCTATCATCGTTACTCTCGTTTGGAATTTTTGGAATTTTCAGCCAAGAGATAGCTGATGGGGTCAACAAATCTGCTCAAGCTGTGCAAGCGGCTGAAGCTGGAATTCGGAAAATAGGTTCTTTTGCTCGCCAACAAACTATGTGTATGTCATCATATATGCATGTGCTTTCTACTTTGTTCGCTTCACGAAATTGTTCAAAGTCATATTTTTTTATAATCAGAACCAATCATGATTAATTAATTGCTTTGCGTGTATGAACAGCGATGATTCAGGAGAGGGCAAACCTGCCCACAATCCCTTTGCAGCCCGTTGTTGCAGGGGCTGCAATGAAGACTTCTCGTGCTGTTGGCCATGCCACGAAGACTTTTATGAACATGATCTCTAGAGGAGAGCTTGGCGCGGAAAATGAAAGTGAAAACCTAGCTGATAGATTAGAAATATAGCAAGCTTACGAGTTCCTATTGTTTTAGTACCCATTGTCATCAACCCAGAAGTTGTAGTTTATAATTGAGATTACACGTGTTTAAAATTAGTTATTGAGAGCTCGGTATGACAGATAGCATTTGCTTTGTATACATAGGATAAACATGTACATTTTACCTCCTAATGTTTCAGGATTGTAAAGAGATTTATTTTGCTATTTTGTTGCGTTTAAGAATTAGGTGTTGGTTTGTACTCCGGGATTTGGGGTTGGGCGTATTTCAAATCCAAAGCCCCAAAACAAATGAGAAAAACTACTCCCTCAGACGTAACTACCCAGATTTTTCTGGATAATGTGTTGTGTGGTGGAGATTAAATTTGAATAATGTAGGGTTCATCTATAGAATAAATTTGAACCACAAGATAATTATTCTAAGTTGATAAGTGTGGGTTCATAGTATTGCTCGAAACAAATAACCGCATTGATTTTCATAATGACTAAAATCTAAGAATTTCAGTAGGGCATTATTTTCCAACTAACATCATCTCTTAGCTTTTGAAAATGTTAGACATTCCAATTTCAAGGATTATCACGAAATTGAGGAATATTATTAATTTTGGTAATAATCAATGAAGTTTTACACCTTTATACATAAATAAAAATGATATACATACTGATTTTTTAAATTCACTTTTTAAATTTAGTGGTGTCAATAAGATGATTAGTTAATAATTAAAAAATAAATGAGAGAAATAATTGATTTAGATATTTAATAGAGTGTTACATCATTAGTCTAAAATGTGAGTTTAATTTTTGAAGCTATTCATAATAATAAAGTAAAATAAAAAATTACAACAAATATATAACAAATTTAAGTGAAGTGCAAATTTGATTTAGTTCTAACAATCATGCCATCTAATATAGTGCAGTAAAACAAGTCCCATGATAATCAGCTTTAAGAGGGGTATTAATCGAATAAGTTCGGGTTTGAGTTTTTCAAGTCATTACAAAAAAATGATTTACCAAAGTTGATTGAGAAGCTGAGGCCGAAATACTAGTTACTTCTGTTTTTAAATTCAAATGGTTGTCAAAATAATAAAAGTGCTCTTATTAGCATCTTATAAATTATTTTGAATTTTTTAGAGTGCTGCTATTTAGCACCTACTAAAATTCTTTAGACCCCCTATTTCTTTGGATCCCAACCCTAAACCCTAAATTTTAATAATATTTTTTTGGACATCCCACTTATTACCAAAATTACCCATATTCATAATATTTTCACAATGAAATGCACACCCACCTAATTTTTCATCCATCTCCTTCCCTGACTCACTCAATCTTCAGAGTTTGGAGTTTTGGTCCAGTACAGTTCCTCCAACCTCCCCATTGCGTAAGAATGGTAATTCACTCTCATACCCTTCTTCACTACTGTCCCATCTGGCAACACGTCATTCTTTAAAACTTGCTTTCCGTCAATGGGGATGGGTGGGTAGAGTCTCATAGTCTCGCTCAGTGACGCATGTGTGTAAACCATGTCTTTCACTTCTTCGTAGATCGGAGCTTCAGATTTCTCATTAATTTCTTTGAAAATCTCAGTTTCTACATTTGGATTTTTGGAGACAAGCCAGAAGAACCAGATTAAAGCTTTCATCTAAATGCCCTGAATTCAAGAATCTCGATAGGAGATCAGCAGATTCGAGTGATAATTTTGAATTTGTTCACCACTGTGTAGCCGAAAAAATGTATTTTGTTCAGAACTGTTTTGTCAAACAATAACAATCCTGTCAGCACTGTATGTCCGAACAAAATTTGTTCATCACTGTGCAACTTGAATCCATTCCAATTCACAACTTAAAATAACATGAATTAAATCCATTCAAAATACATGTAAACTAAAAACACAGAATATGCAGCGGATAAAATAATCAGATTATACCTTCTTGATGATAGAACCTTCTTGTATAAATCACGTGCTTCCAGAAAACTGATAAATCAACCCAGCAGTGGAGTGATGTCACAGATTGAATATCACCCACACAAAATCACAGTGCAAAGACTTGATCATTGTGTTTTTGGGAGAGAGTCAGTATATGGGTAGAAACAGACTATACGTTGTTTCTCACTTGATTACCCATAACCATATATCAGATATATAATATATTATTATATCTATCCATATCAGTTAAAACTGATAATATCTGTATCTTGAGTGGTTATCCTAAATAGGTTTGAATTCAATTTCAAAACCTATTTGGATAGGATTCCAAATTCAAATTCAAATGGTCATGCCACATGGGCGCCCATTACTAACAAAGTGCTTCTTCATGCTCATAAAATTCTTTTTGATTGTTTCTCTTACCTCCATAAAATAAATCTAATTGAATGACAAGGTTAATTAAGACGTACGTAGAAGCCAGTTGTGATTGATTGTGGTTTTCTTATACTAGGTTATTACTTGCTAAGTAATCCGGTTAGCGTGCAGCGGTCTTCTCTCACAGCTGTAGTTGGTGATACAACTGTAGTACCAAATGTGTCATTTTTTGAGGAATCTAATCCCTCATCTAATCATGGAGTGCTGGAAAAAAAATAGTGACGAGTGTGATGGAAATGATGATATTGAGGCTTTGGATGACCATAAAATGACTCGAATTTGTGACAAGCTAATTGACGTTTTTATGGTTAACAAGCCCAATACAACAAACTGGAGAACGTTAATAGCTTTTAGCAAGGAATGGGACAATATCCGACCTCACTTCTACAAGCGTTGTCATGACCGACAGATAGTGAGAATGATCCTGGTATGAAACACATGCTATTACGGCTTGGAAGGAAGCTGAAAGAGGTGTCCTTTTATAAACATATAAATATGTACATACATGTATCTTAAGGTCAATCAAAGTGTGGAACAATAATGATCTTGGTTGTTTTCTATTCATGTGGATTGAGAACAATTATCTGAGAGCAAGTTGATGCCGTAATTTGTTTGTTCTTGATCTCAATGCCTACACTGTACTAAAATGGCATGAAGTTGCCCTTCGCCTGTGAGCATCAGATGCCATACTCTCCTCAAAATGAATTTGTGTGCATTGAAGATGTTTGATTATGCAATTTCACGTTCTCCTTGGCTAACAGTACTACTAGTTTTAACAGATTAAAGCTTTCATCTAAATGCCCTGAATTCAAGAATCTCGATAGGAGATCAGCAGATTCGAGTGATAATTTTGAATTTGTTCACCATTGTGTAGCCGAAAAAATGTATTTTGTTCAGAACTGTTTTGTCAAACAATAACGATCCTGTCAGCATTGTATGCCCGAACAAAATTTGTTCATCACTGTATAACTTGAATCCATTCCAATTCACAACTTAAAATAACATGAATTAAATCCATTCAAAATACATAACTTAAATCCATTTCAATTCACTCTTTTCCATTCTAAGTTAGTTTAACAAAAAAAATTACATAACTGACTATCTGCATTGATGTTCGGAATCTATGTATTGAACGAAAGGATTATGTTCAGTACTGTATTACCGAGCATAATTCTAATAGTCAGCAAACCAGTACCGAACAGCCCGAACAAAACAAGAACGACCGAAAACGACTGAGAATGTTAATACAAGACAGATAAACTTATTAATGGAACGCCAGTCTCACTAGAATTGTTGTCATCGTCCTCCATTGCTCTACACAGTAAAATAAGTGATGAAGTATACGTTATACTTGAAGCAAAACTTTCAAGTTCAATAGCGTTGATGATTCTGATGAAGATGACACATTCAAGATTTAAGATGATTATGAAAAATAATAGATTTAGGGTTTATATTAGTTGGTTATGAAAAGTAATAGATTTAGGATTTACAAACATGAAATACGTATAGTTGGAGTTGGTGGGGGTGGGGGTGAGGGTGGGTGTCCAATATTATAGAGTATTAGTTCTTATTGATAGGTGGGTGTTCCATTTAATAATGTCTTTTAATGTAATTTTACTTTAGGGTATAATTGTGATAAAAAAAATTATAAAATGAGGAGTCCAAAGAATTTTGGCAGGTGCTAATAGCAGCACTCATCTTTTAATTTTAATTTTTTTTATTACAATAATAATCTCAAATAAAATTACTATAAAGGATATCATTAATTTTAGGACACCCCACCTCACAATTAAACTTATACACCCATTATATAATGAATTAAGGTTTATGAGAGCATCAACCTCCATCACCACCCATCCATCTTCTCCAAATCTCACTTTCAAAACCTATCCACTCTCAAAATCTTGAAACCCCTTTGGCGGTAATATTTCGGCGGTAATATTTCGGCGGTAATAGTGGTAACTATTTAATTACCTGCACTTCTCTGGCAATGACAATCAGTGAAGGTTTTTTTGGTAACCACAACTCTGTAAGACGAGAGGAGTACAACAATAAAAACTTAAAGAAGGTTCATAACTTTAATATTGTTTTTAACTCAGAGGAGATTGGCCTTGTAAGGGTAAGTTTCTTTAAAAAAATGGCAAAAATAATAAAATATGTTCGTCATTTTTTTTAGGCTGAACTCTCGAACATATAGCTAAAATTTGGGAACACAAGCCCGAACATTGCTTATTTGTTCGGGAAGGCATTCTCACACAAATAAGTAATGTTCGGGAATGTAGGTTCGAACATAGAAATTTCTTAACACATTGAACGGTCAAAATTATTAACGCTTGCAGAAGTTCTCATTTTTTTAAGTTTGGGAATACAGGCTCAAATATTACTTATTTGTTCAGGAAGGCATTCACGAACAAATAAGTAATGTTCGACAATGCAGCTCCGAACATTGAAATTTCTTTACACATTGAACAGTCAAAATTGTTAACGCTTGTAGAAGTTTTCATTTTTTCAAGTTTAGGAATACAGGCCTGAAAATGAAAATGAAAATGAAAATGAAAATTTCTTAATACATTGAATGGTCAAAATTTTTAATACTTCAGAGGTAGCCCAAATCCATTATCAGGTTGAAAAGTTATTCCTTTATCACGTAATTTTGATAATATTGTTGCGTAATTCTCTACTGAACTCACAATTTTATATTATCTACCAACAAAACTAACTAAACCAATTATTATAATTTTTTTCCCGCAAGAAAAGAAATTATTATGAGAAAACTAAGAAATTATGTATATGCATATATATAGCGAGAGAGAGAGAGAACATACCAACTGTGATAATGGTAGATGAGGTAATAAAGCCAGTAATCACATTGGCTCTTCTTCTTCTTGGTGAGTTTTATTAAGATTTTTTGGAAGATGATTTTTTCAGGATGTGGAGGGTGTGTATTCAATGGGTGAAATGTTTTCATAAGGATAATTTTGGTATTATATGAGGGGGGAGGAAAGAAATTTTGAGGATTTCAAAATTAATAAGTGGGGGATAATTTTGGTATTATATGAGGGGGGAGGAAAGAAATTTTGAGGATTTCAAAATTAATAAGTGGGGACCCAAAGAAATGAGGAGTCCAACATAATTCATGGGTGTTGCTAGCACCACTCAATAATAACTAGTAAAAGGAAAAAAAAATTAAATGCATATTACTGAGGCCTCGTTTAGAGACAGGCTTTTTTAGTAACTTTTTAGCTTTTTAACTAAAATGTGATGTAAAAAAAACTAATATGTTTGAGATGACTTTTTAACTTTTTACGAAAAGATGTGCAAAAAGTAAAAAGAAAAAGAAATCTTTGACTTTTTGGTATGAGTTGTTAGTCTTTTAATTTTTTTAATAACTTTTTAATTTTTTAACTAAAAGAGACACTTCCCAAATGAGGCCTGAACATACCTTTGTTCTATTCTACAGTAGTTGGTTTTGTAAACTGTTGAACATATACACGAATGCAATGCAAAATGTTCGCAAAAAGAGAAGGGTAAATGACAGTGACCTCGTCTAAGCTCTGGAAAAAAAATAACAAACCTCACAGTTTAAAATAATTAAACTGATCTCTCTTTTAACAAAGTTAAATGGTATGGAACCAATGTAAATGGTATAAAAATATAAAGATAAATAAAATAAAATATACATTTTAATATAAAAGAATTGACAAAGGAGTCAACATAGGGTCATTTCCCTAAATAAGTTAAATTATCAATTCAATTCCTAAATTAAGTCTAATTTTGAAAGAATTCTCAAAATAGGCTAAAACGTGGTTCACAACCACGCTTTCAACGTTTGTCCTGTGAAAATGGCGAAATCGTAAAAGCGTAATTACAAATCACGTTTTTAATTAAGAAAGCGTTGTTCCTAATCACGCTTTTAAATAAATTTTTTTTTCAAAAAACGTAATTTTTAACCACGCTTTTAAAAAAATCTTTTTTTTTCCAAAAAACATGATTTCTAACTACACTTTTAAACAAAACTGTGTTGTAAAGAAAGCATGATTATAAACCACGCTTTCAACACTCACAACCCACGCACTCACTCACAGCCACACCACACACTCTCTCTCCCTCTCTCTGACACATCACTCACACACAACTCACACTCACACACAACTCACATCAAAATAAATATAAATAAATTTTAAAAATTAAATAAATATAAATAAATAAATAATGTTTAAAAATAAATAAATTTTATCCCTAAACAGTAAAGTAACGTTTGATAACGTTTACGTTTTTAATTTATGTTTACAAAATTTTATAAACTGATTTTTGTTTATTTTTAGAAAAACATAAATTACAAATGCCTTTAGTTTGAACAAAATATTTTTAAAAAATTTAAAAACATAAACTAAAAAATATGTTTGTTCAAACTTGAAATATTTATATTTATATTTATTATTTATGACAATAATATCACACATATTATAATTGAAAAAAAAATTAATTAAAAAAAATAATTGAAAAAAATTTAATTGGAAAACAATTTAATTTTTTTCAAATAATGTAATTGGAAAAAAATATATTTCAAATAATTGAAAAAAATATTTGAAAAAAATTATTTGAAATATATTTTTTTCCAAATATTATTATTTTTTTCAATTAAATTGTTTTCCAATTAAATTTTTTTTCAATTATTTTTGTAAACATAAACTAAAAACGTAAACGTTATCAAACGTTACTTTACTGTTTAGGGATGAAATTTATTTATTTTTATTTTAAGATTTAGGATTTAATTCTTAAAACTTATTTATTTTTAAACATTATTTATTTATTTATATTTATTTAATTCTTCAAATTTATTTATATTTATTTTGATGTGAGTTGTGTGTGAGTGATGTGTCAGAGAGAGGGAGAGAGAGTTTGTGGTGTGGCTGTGAGTGACTGCGTGGGTTGTGAGTGTTGAAAGCATGGTTTCTAATCATGCTTTCTTTACAATACAATTTTGTTTAAAAGCGTGGTTAGAAATTACGTTTTTTAAAAAAAGAAGATTTTTTTTAAAAGCGTGGTTAGAAATCATATTTTTTGAAAAAAAAAATTTATTTAAAAACTTGATTAGAAACAACGCTTTCTTAATTAAAAGCGTGGTTTGTAACACGTTTTTACGATTTCGCCATTTTCACGGGACAAACATTGAAAGCGTGGTTGTGAACCACGTTTTAACCTATTTTGAGAATTCTTTCAAAACTAAGCTTAGTTTGGGAATTGAATTGATAATTTGGCTTATTTAGGGAAATGGCCCGTCAACGTAACTATGCCAAACTTGTGAGATTTACTATATTTTATTCAAACCTCAAGAGAGGTTAGTATAATTTACCCAAAAAAAGAAAAACGGATGCCTCTATTTACGAGAGCTTCTATTTACACACTCAAAATACACTTTTTACACATCTCCCCTCACTACACTTTCTACACACCTCCTTCATTAAGTGTGTGTATTGAGAGGGTTTAATGTGTGTAAATAGAAGCTCCCCTATTTACACATCATAATTTATCTCAAGACAAACCACTTCTAAAAACACACCTTTAATAATTTGGTAAATATATATTTTGCTCATCACTCACCACAAATTTACATATTTATCCTTACTCACACGCTCATCCACAACAAACTCCCATATTTACCCTCACTCACTCACACACCCCCACACACCCACCTTCTTCTATCTTCCCCCTCCATTCTCAATTTTAACCTTCTTCTATCTTCCCCCCTCCATTCTCAATTTTAACCGGTGAACACTGTGTTGGTGCTCAACACAGAGTTAAGCAGTGGTAAAGACGTCGTTGGTGCTCAAATAAAGCAGTAGGTGAGTTCTCATTTCGCCTAATGAACGGTTCGGTAAATGTCGAACATAATCAGTTCCAAACCGTTCAACACTCTAAATTGGGGTGGAACATAATAAGTCAAACCATTCGATTGTAGTTTGTCGAACAGATGTAATTTGTTCAATTATAGTTTGTCGAACAGATGTAATTTGTTTGATTGTAGTTTGTTGAACAATGATATATTATTCACCTCTGGTTAACCGAACAACGATTTACCACTCATAAACGAAAACGAAGACAAAAACAAAAAAAAAAATAACATTTTCATTGCTCCATTGTTCCGAATGAGAATTGTCATGTGCATCCTTCATTGAATCCAATCAAAATCTTCAATAATACTATATTTTTGATTATTTGTTGAAGGGTTTTTAATTTTGGTTTTAGGATTTTTGGATTCTTGACATAAAAGATACGTAAGGAACAAGTTTGAAATTAATGATTTATATTATATTGATTCTTGTCTTTTATGATAAATACACAAATGATGTGTATCATAACTTGTCCTCTATAGTCATTTCACTTAAGGTTAAAATTGTAATAAAAAATAAATTAATTAATGGTTTACCTATGGAGGGAAGGTGGTGTGTAAATAAATAGAATGACCCAAACAATTGAAGACCACTGATTCAAGAATACCTCCCTGAAATAACCATTTTCTTAGCTATCCACATAAATAATTCAGTAACTATATATAGTTTGTATATACAAACTATGCACAAACCAACCTACAACATTCCATACATGTAGTGTAATTCCTCACAACAGAACAGACCACTCTCCTCGCAACAGACCAGACCAGTCCTAAAATTTCTTTTTCTTTTTTTATTTTTTTATTTTAATCTTCATGTACAGTGTGAAGTTCTCAACTAATGTTAACTTTGTACTGCTGATGATTAAGTAGTTACATCGATCTGGACAATGTACCCGCAAATTTTATTCTTCATAATTCATTCTCATTCTTGTAATTCCAAACGCCGCCTGATCTTCCTTTAAGGACTCATCCTGTCAACTGCAATACAGCTATCAAAATACAGTTAAAAATTCAGTGTGGTGTTTGGTGCAGAAATTGAAAATTACCACTAACTGCAACTTACATTTTTTGCAGAATAAACAAGGATGAAATTTTCAGCGCTTTTTCATGAGCTTCCTTGCTCCCCTAGTCAGGTGGCGCGTGCAGACCACGCGCCGCCTTCCAGGGTATTTTCTGGTCCGATTTTTGTACTGCCGGACTCCTTTTTTCAAAATAAAACTATTTATGATACGAAAAAAGACATTAATGAACATAAAAAAAATTATTTTTTATGCTCCTAATCTGATAAAAAAAAAATTTCTTCTACAAATATTCATGTGTATAATGTATACATATACATATAAAAGTATACACATGATTAAAGGAAACACGAAAATATCCATTAACCTGCTCTGATACCAATGTAAACTAAAAACACAGAATATGCAGCGGATAAAATAATCATATCATACCTTCTTGATGATAGAACCTTCTTGGATAAATCACGTGCTTCCAGAAAACTGATAAATCAACCCAGCAGTGTAGTGATATCACAGATTGAATATCACACACACAAAATCACAATGCAAAGACTTGATCATTGTGTTTTTGGGAGAGAGTCAGTATATGGGTAGAAACAGACTATACGTTGTTTCTCACTTGATTACCCATAACCATATATCAGAAAGATAATATATTATTATATCTATCCATATCAGTTAAAACTGATAATATCTGTATCTTGAGTGGTTATCCTAAATAGGTTTGATTTCAAATTCAAAACCTATTTGGATAAAGATTCAAATTCAAATTTAATGGTCATGCCACATGGGCACCCATTACTAACAATACATAACTTAAATCCATTCCAATTCACTCTTTTCCATTCTAAGTTAGTTTAACAAAGAAAATTACATAACTGACTATCTGCATTGATGTTCGGAATCTATGTATTGAACGAAAGGATTATGTTCAGTGCTGTATTACCGAACATAATTCTAATAGTCAGCAAACCAGTACCGAACAACTCGAACAAAACAAGAACGACCGAAAACGACCGAGAATGTTAATACAAGGCAGATAAACTTATTAATGGAACGCCAGTCTCACTAGAATTGTTGTCCTCGTCCTCCATTGCTCTACACAGTAAAATAAGTGATGAAGTATACGTTATAATTGAAGCAAAACTTTCAGGTTCAATAGCGTTGATGATGCTGATGAAGATGACACATTCAAGATTTAAGATGATTATGAAAAATAATAAATTTAGGGGTTATATTAATTGGTTATGAAAAGTAATAGATTTAGGGTTTACAAATATGGAATACGTATAGTTGGAGTTGGAGGAGGTGGGGGTGGGGGTGAGGGTGAGGGTGGGTGTCCAATATTATAGAGTATTAGTTCTTATTGATAGGTGGGTGTTCCATTTAATAATGTCTTTTAATGTAATTTTACTTTAGGGTATAATTGTGATAAAAAAAATTATAAAATGAGGAGTCCAAAGAATTTTGGCAGGTGCTAATAGCAGCACTCATCTTTTAATTTTAATTTTTTTTATTACAATAATAACCTCAAATAAAATTACTATAAAGGATATCATTAATTTTGGGACACCCCACCTCACAATTAAACTTATACACCCATTATATAATGAATTAAGGTTTATGAGAGCATCAACCTCCATCACCACCCATCCATTTTCTCCAAATCCCACTTTCAAAACCTACCCACTCTCAAAATCTTGAAACCCCTTTGGCGGCAATATTTCGGCAGTAATAATGGTAACTATTTAATTGCCTATACTTATCTGGCAATGACAATCAGTGAAGGTTTTTTTGGTAACCACAACTCTGTAAGACGAGAGGAGTACAACAATAAAAGCTTAGAGAATGTTCATAATTTTAATATTGTTTTTAACTCAGAGGAGATTGGCCTTGTAAGGGTAAGTTTCTTTAAAAAAATGGCAAAAATAATAAAATATGTTCGTCATTTTTTCGAGGCTGAACTCTCGAACATATAGCTGAAATTTGGGAACACAAGCCCAAACATTGTTTATTTGTTCAGGAAGGCATTCTCACACAAATAAGTAATGTTCGGAAATGTAGGTTCGAACATAAAAATTTCTTAACACATTGAACGATCAAAATTATTAACGCTTGCAGAGGTTCTCATTTTTTTAAGTTTGGAAATACAGGCTCAAATATTACTTATTTGTTCAGGAAGGCATTCACGAACAAATAAGTAATGTTCGAGAATCCAACTCCGAACATTGAAATTTCTTTACACATTGAACAGTCAAAATTGTTAACGCTTGTAGAAGTTTTCATTTTTTCAAGTTTAGGAATACAGGTCTGAAAATGAAAATGAAAATGAAAATTTCTTAATACATTGAATGGTCAAAATTTTTAATACTTCAGAGGTAGCCCAAATCCATTATCAGGTTGAAAAGTTATTCCTTTATCACGTAATTTTGATAATATTGTTGCGTAATTCTCTACTGAACTCACAATTTTATATTATCTACCAACAAAACTAACTAAACCAATTATTATAATTTTTTTCCTGCAAGAAAAGAAATTATTATGAGAAAACTAAGAAATTATGTATATGTACATATATAGCAAGAGAGAGAGAGAGAACATACCAACTGTGATAATAGTGGATGAGGTAATAAAGACAGTAATCACATTGGCTCTTCTTTTTCTTGGTGGGTTTTGTTAAGATTTTTTGGAAGATGATTTTTTTAGGATGTGGAGGGTGTGTATTCAATGGGTGAAATGTTTTCATAAGGATAATTTTGATATTATATGAGGGGGGAGGAAAGAAATTTTGAGGATTTCAAAATTAACAAGCGGGGACCCAAAGAAATGAGGAGTCCAAAGGCTTGGTTTGGGAAGTGGGTTGGCTTTTTGGCTTTTTGACTTTTTTGGCTATTTTAGCCTGGGCTAAAAAGTTTGGTTTGGGAAGGGCTTTTTGACTTTTTGGCTTTTTTGACTTTTTTTGTGAGAGAAGAGTGTAATGATTATGGATTAGATGTGATGTTTTGTTTTTTGTGGCTAAAATAGCCTATTTTGTCTTTTGTGGCTAAAATAGCCAAAAAAGCCCCCAACCCAACTTGCCAAACGGAGCCAAAATAATTCATGGGGTGTTGCTAGCACCACTCAATAATAACTAGTAAAAGGAAAAAAATTAAATGCATATTACTGAGGCCTCGTTTGGAGACAGGCTTTTTTAGTAATTTTTTAGCTTTTTGACTAAAATGTGATGTAAAAAAAATTAGTATATTTAAAATGACTTTTTGACTTTTTACGAAAAAATGTGTAAAAAGTAGAAAGAAAAAGAAATCTTTGACTTTTTGATATGAAGTCTTTTAATTTTTTTAATAACTTTTTAATTTTTTTAACTAAAAGAGACACTTCCCAAACGAGGCGTGAATATACCCTTTGTTCTATTCTACAGTAGTTGGTTTTGTAAACTGTTGAACATATACACGAATACAATGCAAAATGTTCGCAAAAAGAGAAGGGTAAATGACAGTGACCTCGTCTAAGCTCTGGAAAAAAAAATAACAAACCTCACAGTTTAAAATAATTAAACTGATCTCTTTTTTAACAAAGTTAAATGGTATGGAACCAATGTAAATGGTATAAAAATACAAAGATAAATAAAATAAAATATACGTTTTAATATAAAAGAATTGACAAAGGAGTCAACGTAAGGCCATTTTCCTAAATAAGTTAAATTATTAATTCAATTCTCAAATTAAGTTTAGTTTTGAAAGAATTCTCAAAATAGGCTAAAACGTGGTTCAGAACCACGCTTTCAATGTTTGTCCCGTGAAAATGGTGAAATCGTAAAAGCGTGATTACAAATCACGCTTTTAATTAAGAAAGCGTTGTTCCTAATCACGCTTTTAAATAAATTTTCTTTTTTCAAAAAACGTGATTTCTAACCACGCTTTTTAAAAAAATATTTTTTTTTTCAAAAAACATGATTTCTAACCACACTTTTAAATAAAACTGTGTTGTAAAGAAAGTATGATTATAAACCACGCTTTCAACACTCACAGCCCACGCACTCACTCACGCACTCACTCACAGCCACACCACACACTCTCTCTCCCTCTCTCTAACACATCACTCACACACAACTCACATCAAAATAAATATAAATAAATTTTAAAAATTAAATAAATATAAATAAATAAATAATGTTTAAAAATAAATAAATTTTATCCCTAAACAGTAAAGTAACGTTTGATAACGTTTACGTTTTTAATTTATGTTTATAAAAATTTTATAAACTGATTTTTATTTATTTTTAGAAAAACATAAATTATAAATGCGTTTAGTTTGAACAAAATATTTTAAAAAATTTAAAAACATAAACTAAAAAATATGTTTGTTCAAACTTAAAATATTTATATTTATATTTATTATTTGTGACAATAATATCACATATTATAATTGAAAAAAATTTAATTGGAAAAAAATACTATTTGAAAAAAAATATATTTCAAATAAATTTTTTTTTCAAGCTTAAAATATTTATATTTATATTTATTATTTATGACAATGGGATCACACATATTATAATTGAAAAAAAATTAATTAAAAAAAATAATTGAAAAAAAATTAATTAGAAAAAAATAATATTTGAAAAAATATATATTTCAAATAATTTTTTTTTTCAATTATTTGTGAATAATAAAAATAAATATAAATATTTTTGGCCTGAAGAAACATATATTTTTAGTTTATATTTTTTAATTTTTTAAAACATTTTGTTCAAACCAAACACGTTTGTAATTTATGTTTTCCTAAAAATAAACAAAAATCAGTTTATAAAATTTTTGTAAACATAAACTAAAAACGTAAATGTTATCAAACGTTACTTTACTGTTTAGGGATAAAAATTTTTTTTTTATTTTATTTTAAGATTTAGGGTTTAATTCTTAAAATTTATTTATTTTTAAATATTATTTATTTATTTATATTTATTTAATTCTTAAAATTTATTTATATTTATTTTGATGTGAGTTGTGTGTGAGTGATGTGTCAAAGAGAGGGAGAGAGACTGTGTGGTGTGGCTGTGAGTGATTGCGTAGGTTGTGAGTGTTGAAAGCGTGGTTTCTAACCACGCTTTCTTTACAACACAATTTTGTTTAAAAGCGTGGTTAGAAATTACGTTTAAAAAAAAAAAAGATTTCTTTAAAAGCGTGGTTAGAAATCACATTTTTTGAAAAAAAAAAAATTTATTTAAAAGCGTGATTAGGAACAACGCTTTCTTAATTAAAAGCGTGGTTTGTAATCACGCTTTTACGATTTCGCCATTTTCACGGGACAAACGTTGAAAGTGTGGTTGTGAACCACGTTTTAGCCTATTTTGGGAATTCTTTCAAAACTAAGCTTAGTTTGGAAATTGAATTGATAATTTGGCTTATTTAGGGAAATGGCCCGTCAACGTAACTATGCCAAATTTGTGAGATTTACTATATTTTATCCAAACCTCAAGGGAGGTTAGTGTAATTTACCCAAAAAAAGAAAAACGGGTGTCTCTATTTACACACCATAATTTATCTCAAGACAAACCACTTCTAAAAACACACCTTTAATAATTTGGTAAATATATATTTTGCTCATCACTCACTATAAATTTACATATTTATCCTTACTCACACACTCATCCACAACAATATACACACAAACTCCCATATTTACCCTCACTCACTCACACACCCCCACACACCCACCTTCTTCTATCTTCCCCCCTCCATTCTCAATTTTAATCGATGAACACTGTGTTGGTGCTCAACACAGAGTTAAGCAGTGGTAAAGACATCGTTGGTACTCAAGTAAAGCAGTAGGTGAGTTCTCATTTCGCCTAATGAACGGTTCGGTAAATGTCGAACATAATCAGTTCCAAACCGTTCGACACTCTAAATTGGGGTGGAACATAATAAGTCGAACCGTTCGATTGTAGTTTGTCGAACAGATGTAATTTATTCAATTATAGTTTGTCGAACAAATGTAATTTGTTCGATTGTAGTTTGTTGAACAATGATATATTATTCACCTCTGGTTAACCGAACAACGATTTACCACCCATAAACGAAAACGAAGACAAAAACAACAAGAAAAAATAACTTTTTCATTGCTCCATTGTTCCGAATGAGAATTGTCATATGCATCTTTCATTGAATCCAATCAAAATCTTCAATAATACTATATTTTTGATTATTTGTTGAAGGGTTTTTAATTTTGGTTTTAGGATTTTTGGATTCTTGACAGAAAAGATACGCAAGGAACAAGTTTGAAATTAATGATTTATATTATATTGATTCTTGTCTTTTATGGAAAATACACAAATGGTGTGTATCATAACTTGTCATCTATAGTCATTTCACTTAAGGTTAAAATTGTAATAAAAAATAAATTAATTAATGGTTTGCCTAAAGAGGGAAGGTGGTGTGTAAATAAATAGAATGACCCAAACAATTGAAGACCACTGATTCAAGAATACCTCCCTGAAATAACCATTTTCTTAGCTATCCACATAAATAATTCAGTAACTATATATAGTTTGTATATACAAACTATGCACAAACCAACCTACAACATTCCATACATGTAGTGTAATTCCTCACAACAGAACAGACCACTCTCCTCACAACAGACCAGACCAGTCCTAAAATTTCTTTTTATTTTTTTATTTTTTTATTTTAATCTTCATGTACAGTGTGAAGTTCTCAACTAATGTTAACTTTGTACTGCTGATGATTAAGTAGTTACATCGATCTGGACAATGTACCCGCAAATTTTATTCTTCATAATTCATTCTCATTCTTGTAATTCCAAACGCCGCCTGATCTTCCTTTAAGGACTCATCCTGTCAACTGCAATACAGCTATCAAAATACAGTTAAAAATTCAGTGTGGTGTTTGGTGCAGAAATTGAAAATTACCACTACCTGCAACTTACATTTTTTGCAGAATAAACAAGGATGAAATTTTCAGCGCTTTTTCATGAGCTTCCTTGCTCCCCTAGAGAAGTTTCTTACGAAAACTCTATCAGCAAATGTTAAAGGAAGCTCTTCATCCACGGCCTCTCTTTGGTCCGACCAGCCTTCGCTCCCATTTTTTGAGCTGCTATCTTTGATTTCTTCAAGCACCTCGGGATCTTCAGGTATGTCTCGATACAAGTGTTTCAGTATGAAAAGGGCAGTATCAGGATCCCTCCAATAATTCCTGTATACCAAAGCAAGTATCAAATAATAAAAACCTTTTCAGTAGTAAACATAATACCCCAGCTAGAACCAAATCACCATTTCATTTTATTTTATTTATTTATTTTGCAGACAAGGTGGGTGGAGTAAAAAAATAGGGGAAATTGCAATTCAATGGTGCATACAAAAATATTTTCATTTCCATGGTAGTGCAAGTTTTACGTGTGCATGGTGCAAGTCGATCTTGTGTGTCAGAGTTGCATCATAAAAAACTTAATCTATAGTACAATTACTTTTCCACTCTTCCACTGATTTGCTATTTCCCCAAAAAAAATATGAAAAACCATTAAGTAGGTCCATGACCGCAACAAATTCAAGGTTAAATGTGCTTTGAGGATACTTGCCTTTGACATGTCCTCAAAGCACACATTAACGGTGGATCACAAATATGGAGGATCTAGGGACCATTGCTTGGTGAAGTGGTAAGAGCTTGGGCTGTTAGGCATGAGAACACATGTTTGAGTATGCCTCAGTAACTTCGAGCATATTATGTCAAAACATAAGATTTGTCTATAATTTTTCAATGTTTAGGGGGAAATAGCCAGCAATCTCTCTTTGGTAAACTACCTTGCACGACTTGGAGAGAACATACCACTGTTTTTTTTAGTAGGATGCACCTTTCAATACACTGACATGCAAAGTGGTACATTTACATCCCAACCAAATTGAGAAATATGTCTCCTTTGTCGATACTCGGTTACAATCCTATATCTGTTAACAGTGAGCTTGGCCAAGTGAATATAAGTCAATTGGGCAGTTTTCAACGGTGAGTTCTACTAAGGGGTTCGTATCATTTGGTATCAAAGCTACCCACCATGTCAAGTATGGGATCAGACACGACCTATGTTGCACGGACACGGACACGCGACACGACACGGACACGCAAAAACATAAATTTTCAAAAAATAGAGGACACGACACGCTGGGGACACGTTTAATATATATAATTAATTTTATTTATTATATGTCTAAAAAAAAATTATTAATTTTTATACAACTACAATAATAATAAAATCAATAAACATATTTTTTTAAAAAAAATTAATAAAAAATGAGTGTTTTTAAATAAAAACAAATTATTTTATGAATTTTAGGTTTAATAAAAATAAAGATAAAGAAAAAAGAAAAAAGAAAAAAAAGAGTGAAGGAAATAAAAGAGGAGAGAGAGAGAGAGAGAAACGTGTGAAATAAAAAAAGAGGGGAAAGTGAAGCAAAAGGGGAAAGTGAATCAGCAAAAGGGGAGGAGAAGAGAGAGAGAGAGAACAGGAGAAGTCGAAGAAGAACAGGGAGGAGAAGAAGATGGAGACAGAAGAGGACGAGGCGAAGAAATGGAGACAGAAGAATACCTCAGCTTCTTCATTGATCAGAACAGGTTAGGCTCCTCCCTCTTATCTCTTTCTCTGTCACTTTCTCTATCTGTCTCCTCTCATCTCCTCCCTCGATCTCTGTCTTCTCTCGTTCCTTGATCTCTTTCGCTATCTCCTCTTCTCCCTCGATCTCTTTCTCTCTTTCAGTTAGGGTTAGGGCTTCGATTCGATCCACCTCAGGCGTGTCCGGAAAGTGTCACAGCGTGTCCATGGCGTCTCCCACTACAAAAATTCAAAAAAAAAAAGAGGACACGTTAGAGAGAGTGTCGGACACGTGTCCACCGCGTGTCCGACGCATGTCCGTGTCCGACACGTGTCCGACACTCGTACGTAGGCCTAGGCAACGTGTCGGTGCTTCATAGGACACGACCTGTGTGAGTATGGGATTGGATGGACTATGGCTTTTAGTATGGGATCGAACACAAACTATGCGAGTATGGGATCAGATGGACTGCAGCATTGCGGTTCAAACTGTGGTGGGGGCGACCTATAGGCTGAATTAAGATACCTACGAAGGTGCAGAGCATGGTGGGATGTTACGATCCTACATCGTTGGTTGAGTGAATATAACTCTCTTGGACACCTTCCCCTTGCAAGCTCGTTTTCAAGGTTGAGTTCTACCAAGGGTTCAGACCTTGCACTAACTTAAGGGAGCATTATGCCACATTTCACAGATGGTGAAATCCCACAAATGAGTGGTATGCTTCTGTATAGCATAGTATCCAAAGAATGGTTCTGTATACTTCAGACTATTCATTCTCTACAATGATTGGAAATTTTCCCGCAATCAGTGTTGCAGAAAATTGCAGCATTATAGACAATCATGCATGCACAATGAAATACTAGAAAAAATTCAAAAGATAAAGAATTCACTCCACAAAACTCAAACCTGACAAACTGTAATAAGTTTGCTCATGTGATGCAATTTTTTTCTCAATAAACCAACAAAAAATGAAAATCACTGAGTATAAAAGATACATATCTGAGGTTCGAAGTACAGATAGGTAACTTACGTATGTGCTCCAATCGCTGATATGTATGGATGCTGAAAGGTTTTATCCTGCATTAACAACAACAAAAATAGTTCAGAAAAAAAATATTAAATTAAATTATCAAATGATTGAATGCTACCATCCAAATGTTATTGAGCACATTAAACTCCAATTTTGTGTTTATGTTTACCAAGGTTGCCATTTTGGATGCTGAAACTTGTAGTCCATTTGGTTTAAGGTTCCGGTGTCTAATTATTCTGTGTCAGTAACCAATACCACAAAATATGCACTGCCAAGGTATCTATTAACAACTGCATGGGTAAGGAATACATATAACACTGGCATAAAAAGCAGATCATAAGCAACAGAAGTCCTGTGTTCACTGTGCACGGTGCGGTTCGGGCAGTTTGAGAGTAAAATTATAAACTGAATGGCGGATTAGCAGATTGCGGTTTGAGTGGTTTTGGGCGGATTGGCGGATTGAAGAATATTCTAACCAATTATCAAGCCCTTGTATAATATAACACTAATTTGCATAATATTTTTCATATATATAATTACTAATTTGTAATAAATTTAACATCTTAAATCTCTCTCATACTCATTTTTACTTTAATATTTCATTATAAGTTAAAAAATATATATGCATTAACTATAGCGAAGTGGAGTGGTTTCGAAGACAGATTATAAATTTTAAAGTTTAAACCGCAGTTAACGGATAGAGCAGTGCGGATTGATGCGGATCGGTGCAGTTTTAGCAGATTAGGCGGTATTTTACACAACCCTTGATGTATTCTCTCTCAACTTAGATTATCTATGAAACATCAACTCTTGAGGTCACCATTACGGAAGCCTGATTTGTTAAACCCTGCTGATAATTAATCAACTGGCGTGATAGTTTAACTTAGTTTCCCTTGGGAAGGCCAGATGTGACATTGTCACAAAGTCCCATTTTACACCACCCGAACATTCACCATTGTTCCCTCAATGTTTGGCTCAAGATCTTTTAGGTTTTCGATATATGTATTGGTTAATGATGCAATGTCAATAAAAGAAGACATGCCAATACTAATAATAAAAAACATATGCCAAAAAAATTATTAATGGATGCATGCATTGCTATGTGAAGAGGACTGATGCCACAGCCTGAAAAAATTTATTAAACGAAAATCCAGTTAGATCACCAAGACAGTTGGAGGTAGTACTGCAGATAAAATCCAAGGTTCTTCAGATGACCACAAATTAATTAGACGGAATTAATGGCATCAATGGCTTCATTAGAAATAACAAGTTACATCTTCATACAAGTTTAGTCTAAAAAAGTCTTAGTATCACACATCATAACTACATCCTGAGGAGAAATCAATGACAACTATGGGAACAACATGCAGTGCAAACAGTCTTATGTTGGGGAATCGAGGAAGCCCACGAACACGCAACGATACCGGCCCAATCTATCAAGGATAAACTCTGGAGTCCACATGCATAACACTAGGGTTCAACATACATTATTTAGAACTCATACCCACTTAAAAGCTTAAGCCTGTAAGTGAGAGTCAATCTAATGTACATTAAGACCAACCCTTTTTACTCTTTATCCGATGTGAGACTCTACTTTCACACATACTCCAACATCTTAATGTTATAGTAAGGAAGAGACAACAGCAGAACAAAAAATATTTAACAATGGATGCAAAAAATTACTAAAAGGTTTGTTACTTCCAAGAAGATCATGTGCTCCAAGTAGAATTTTAAAAATAAAAATTAAAAATTAAAAAAAAGTAAGCTTCAATTTATAAACAAATAAAAGCTCAAAAGTTAGCACAAAGAGGTACACGTGCATACTTGAAGCATGTGATCTATTCGCCCATCCTCACTCCCTGTCAACCTCTCCATCATAATTGAACCGTATGATCTCTCTTTCTCATGAGTATCTACTGATTCTTCTGCAATATATACACAGAAGAAGGAGACAACAAAACATGGGATTTAGCAGTTAACAGGGCCCTTTAGCTAAATGATTGTTTCTATTTATACAATTAGCATGGAAAAGGAAATAGTTAAGTAACCAAAAGCAACAAATGTAAACAATAAAGAGAACAGCTATGTTTGTATTACCATCAAGGTTATCCTTGTCTTTTGATTGGCATAGCGTAAGCACTTTGACCTAGTCAAAAAAGTTGACACTTCAGAACCTGCATTTCTACCAACGATCGGAAATAAAAAAAACTAAATGCAAACTAGAATGAATTGATGCCTGCAATAAAAGAACAAATGCACCCAAGCCAGCATTAATTTTATTCAGCAATATGGTGGTGGGTTGATTAATCAAGAACCAATCTCCTCAGATGAATTCATCAATTTAAAGACTACATTGTTGAATAGGTTAAAAAAGGCATGATCCATAGCATATGTATTTACAGAAATAAAATGTTCTTTATTCAAACCCGACAATTACCCCAAGCAAGTAAGAACCTAACTTCGTAGCTATTGAGCAAAGAAAAAAATTCCAATCCGAGCAATAAAGTAGGGGTATTGAAGAAACTGAATAAAAAAGATCACAGTTCGGGTAGTAATCTTTAAAGCAAGCAATATAATAATCAATATGAGAATTGATATCACATGGTGAAATTATGTATCCACTTCATTTAGTAGGAATGATTGTGAGGGATTTTAAGGGTCAATGTTAATTAGTTTATATGGCTAAATGGAAGTTAAAACATAGTATTTTTAGGGTGACAATAAAAAAGGCAAGGATTTAGGGGCTATCTATGAGCTGTTCAGAGTGCTCTGAATGGTACTTCTGAATACTATGGTAGGCTAGTTGATTTCCTTTTATGCACTTTCGTAGATGGAATGAACGAAGATGTATGAAGATTGTTCATGGGAGTTATTGGTGGTAAACAAAGATTATTCAGGAATCTTGTTCAATTTCCCCTCACCAAACTTGTACATATGGGTTCACTTTGGATGCCCCACTCCTAGCTTGGGGAAAATTTCAACTTCCTGTGCACCACCCTGTACTACCCCAAGAACTCAACCATAACTTACTCAAACCTTATTTTTTTCTCCAATAGGGGAATCTGAGAAATACTTTTCTAGAGCCTAGGAATTGTTGTGAATCTTAATTGTCTACTATTTTTTAGAATGCCACATCCTCAAGAACTGAGCTTCTTGACTTTTTACAGAGCAAGTCAAATCCACTACAAAAAAGATCAATGGCTGAAAAGTTGTGAGCCGATTTTCAGCTTAAACAAAATGGAGAACAAGCAGAATGAAAAGATATCTGAAGTTAACAAAGACAAGGGGAAAAAAATTTAAGTATTTTTCCTTTTCAATGCAATATAACTTGCAAAATTTTGAAAAATAAGCATCAAAATATAATATTATTTGTCTTCACCTAGGGAAATATTTATTCAATATATTTTGAGTCATGCTGTTTAGTCAGTATCATCCCCACTGCAAAGACATATTGAAGACACAGCTAAAAGGGGTTTAAAAAAACAAAGAAATAGAGCACAGAGATATAGCACTCAAACTAAGGATTCAATAAAGTGCCAGCAGAGAGGCAGAAAATAGGCAAGAAGAAGCCAGTTAAGAATTAAGATGCTAAGTGGGAAAACTTTGATCCAAGGAAATGCATGAATCTTATTGCAAAGGAAACTGAATCTAAGAAAGAATTCTTTAATTCAAAGGATCATTAGTCTGTTACTTATGTAGTAGTTAGAATGATATAAACAAACCCACACATGAAAATGACACCAAAAAATGCCGGAAAGTAATGCAAGTTTGAGTCTAGCATAGCCTACCCTTACAGAGTTCAGTTCATCTTTTATTGCCTGAGAACGTAAAGCTAGATCTTCAGTAAATTCCTGGAACACATAGTATGAGAACAGAGTAAGGTGAGGTAGGAAGATTAATCCAAAAATAATATTACTATTAAAAGGTATACCCGAAATCCGATATGCAATCGTTTTCCACCTTTGTGGTAAGGAACAATAACAGGGCGTTTGCTGATGTATTCTTTACAGATGAGTGGTTCTATTCTGTATGAAAAGCCAATATAGCTTCAACATGTTATATTCAACAAGTTAAATAATATATTCAACATAAGCTGATCAAAGAAAATCTAACAAATGTATAAGAATAAGAAGGATTTATGAGTACATGTTTTGTAAAGGTAAAAGGTCATAGTAATCACATAAAAATTTCAGGTGGGAGTTGAGACGAATAACCCATTTTATATAGAAGTACCACAATTCTAGCAGATACCGTTATCTTTAAAATAAAAATTGATAATCACCATAGTGAAGAATAAATTTGGAAAATCTGGGAACAGAGTTTAATGTGTGGATTAATTCAGCAGGATTCCAAGTATCGACTGGGTAAAACCAACCCCACAGCACCAGATTGGAGAATTAGAATCATTGGACTACTAGATAAGCTCTCATTCAAAGGAAAGAATATTCTCAATCACATCTGATTTCATTTTCTATGTTTTACTACTGAGTACTAACAACTACTAGTATAGAACCCATATGTAAATACAACCACAAACATGTATAGTACATGCTGCACAGCTTCCAAGCACCTAGCCCCAGGTTTTTCTTTCTTCTTTTTTTTGGGAATGGGGTGTGTAACTCTACTTTTGCTATTTTAGATGTTTTATTCCTCTTTGGTACATAATATTTTTTTCCCAACTCAACAAGGAAAATAATGTCATGTTTTCTATTCTGTAATTGCACAATACTCCACAATGAACCCGTTGTACATTGACGAATGCCTAAAATTGCATAATTATATGAATTATATAGGCAAATTTGTATTCTTTTGATGTTAATTCCTTTCATTTTGATGAATTGTGTGCTAATACTTAAATTTTCATTTTAGGGATTAACTTGACAATTAAGGTGGCATTATGAGGTCTAGAGATGATTAGGACCAAGAAAGAGGTGGAACAAAGCTAATAGAGCATCTGATATAACATGGGCACTATTTTTAAGGGAAATTCCGTGTACCTGTCCAATAATATTTTATTGTGGTCCAGCAGTTAACATTGAATTTTGGTTCATTTTTTAGATAATTAGTTGTGTGTTATGCTAAAAGGTTTCCTTTTCCAATTAAACTTGGATTTAGGACTTTTTTAATATAAATACATGTAAAGACCCAGAATTGAGAACATCTTTCATCTAATGCCATGTCTAAATGCAAAGTCCTTCCTTCTTCTACATGGATTGCTAAGCTATTTGCTAAGGCTAGGGTTGAAACCGCAATGGATTCTTAGTAGGTATTCCTTTGATAATAATGGTTTCTGTGCAAGATTATTTTGATTGATCAATTATCTGGGACATTTCCACAGCTTTTTGGGACATTTCCATACACCAATCCCAGTGATTTGACCTTGCACTCATGAGTTATATTCACCATGTTTGGTTCCAGAAAATTGAATCCACTTTTCAGAAAATTGAGTTTTTTATTTTCCATTTTTTTTTTGTTTTTAGTGAATTTTTTAATATTTTACACAATTTTTTTATTTTTATTTTTTAGATACACCCAATCTAAATACACTTAAAAACTATAATATTTGTGGAAAAAAAAAAAACTTTAAAAAATTCACCAAATACAAAAAAAAAATATGAAAATTCAATACATTTTCATATTTTGTGGTATTCAATGGGGTTTTTAAAGATTTTTGTACAAATTTTTTACTTTTTAAGTAAATTAAGATTAAGTGGATCTAAAAATTAAAAAAAAAAAATTGATTAAAATATTTTAAAAAATCATTAAAAATACAAAAATATGAATTGAAAACTCAGAAAACTGTTTTTGAAAACTCAAAACCAGACAGGGTTGTTTTACAACATTCTCCAATTAGGATTGCATTATAAAAGTTGCAACATAAGTAGTGCATGTGCATATAATATTATCAGTAGACATGACATGACAAATCTATTAAGTGTTGAAACCCTGCAATTGAAGTATGGATGCAGCAACATTGAATCAGATTAGATTAGAGTGGATTAAGGCGAAAGTATAATGGCATGAGCCTTTCAAAGAAATAGGGTGCATGTGTGAGATTGATTCCAATATATAAAAGCATCGCAAAATAGGGACTAAGACATACCTATAAGCCACAGGATCAAATGGGTGAAAGATGTTGAACATTTGGCGACAAGCTGGCATCTCTTCACTTATATTTTCCTCTTCCCAATATTCTTTTCCTTTGCCTAGAAAATCGAAAAGAAAATGTAAACGAACAGCTGATTACAACTGAACCTGATAAGTTTCAGAATGGGAAAACTGTTAATAAAAGTGTCAGGGTCCCACACATGCTCTGACAGGGACACAGCTTGTCTGCGAGTGTTGAGCACATGTGCACTGACAGGAACAGAGCTCCTGTATAGCAATAGTATGAACACACAGTTTATAGCAATTACAAAAGCATGCAAGTATTAATTTATTACCAATTCCAATACGAATATTACGGAGGGCAAGAAATACACCAAGGGGAGACCCAGCTGCAAAAAAGGTGTCCACCTAACATATAAAATTGAGGAAAAATAAGGAACACAATCCACTATAACATGCAAATAATTGACCAGAAAATTTGAACCTGTATAAAGAATAAAAACCTTTGTGTTTCCGTACGAGAGAGAGAGAGAGAGAGAGAGAGAGAGAATGAGCACTTTGGCCTTATGCACAAAGTGGATGCCAAAAAAATCACTCCCTTTTATTAATTAATTTATTTTCCGAACTTAACATATGCCATACCCTTGGCAGTTTAAACCTTCAACAGTTCCCCAAAAGCTTAAGATTACAAGGAAAAATAGTACCTCGAATTCTAGCTTTGTATATTTTATATAAGGAGTATAACACTCCGCCATATCAATTTCCCCTGGTGGAAGTTTTCCAGAATCAGGTTGATTTGTAATAGTTGTGGGCACCACCTCATTTCCTGTTTATATTATATTACACATCAAATCCCAAATTCCATGTTGACATAAAAATTCATTCCAAGAAAAAGAAGAGTAATGCTACAATGACCGTGTCCATATACCACATTGGACTTACCAAGTGGTGTGTCATCATTGTACTTGCTGGTAACAGACATGAGTGGTGAAACCCATTGAACCCATGTAATTATGACAAATGAGATGGTAAACCCAATGTGGTATACAAAAATGGTCATTGTAGCATTACTTGAAAAAGAAACACTGTGGAAAGTATAAAAGGAGGGGAGAAAAAAAACCACAATTATCTTAAAGCCAGTCTGCATGTACCTTTACCACCACACTGATATTCCAATTCTGTGTTTCTTGCTTTTAAAGAATCAATCTGTAACAGCAGAAATTTTACTCAATAAAAGAAACATAAATATATACAGAAATTAATGCAGCATAGTTACTGAATACCACCTCTTCCCTCAGGAGTTTGATTGCTTTGTCCTTATCACTCTCAAACACTCCTTCGGACACTTCCTCAGAACCGGCCACCAGGATTTCATAGTTCATGCTTGAGGCTTCATTAAAATCATTCCTTTTGCTAGAAAGCATGCCTCTAAGATCAGAAACCTGGTCCTGGACATCTTTCTCCAGTGATGAAATACCATTTGGTTGCTTAGGGTCCACAGCCCTCACAGAAGGATCATCTAAATCTAATGTGACAGAAGAACCAGCAGGAACGGAAGATTCTTCTGCATGTTCTTTCTCCAGGACTGGCAAAGATGGCTGTTCACTCGCATTGTCTTCTCTAATGGGACCAACCATGCTCTTAGTTTCATTGTTTAATGAGCCGTTCTTGTCCTGATTGGATGTGAAGTTGCATTCAGGAGGTTGGTTGTTGATAGTAGGGGAAAATTCTTCATTCCTAGTGTGTTCCTTGTAGATCCAGTCCATTGGAAATGGGGAGGATAAATTCTCTTGATGACAAATAATATCGTACGAGATGACACTACCCAAAGAGTGACCGTACAAGGAAACCTACAAAAAGAGTATCACAACCAGAGTATCTTCAGCATGAATCACAAAAGCTAATAATTAAAAACATAATCAAAGGAAAGAAGTAAATGTTCAACAAACCATGTACCTTTCCATCATAACCAGGATTCCTCTTCAAGAACTTCAAATATAATCGGTTTAGTTGGTTGGAGACCTGGAGAGGAATATTGTTGTATATAATGTTCTACAAAAGTACTAAAGTAATGCTCATGACTTGTCTGCAGGAGAAACTATGATGAGCTGATACCTATGATATGACACAATTTAGCACCGCTCTTATTGTGATATCCCTATTCTGTAATATGTTAATTGGTCCTCAATATGAGCATGATTATGTGTTTAATATGATTTGGTGTGCCATTATGTGAAAATATGTGGTTTTGAATTTCTAGCTGTTCACCGTAGGAATATCTGTTTGATTATCTACTATGGAAATTAAATCGAAGGCCTTATCGGCCACAGAACCCGAAATTGATTACGCCATTGTGATTAGCGTAATTTTTAGAGCCTACGGTGAAATTTAATTGGAAATTGATTCGGATCAGATTAAATTGATTTAATTAATGGCATAGTGCTTAAATTATTTAATATTATAATTTTGGTTAGTGGGACTTTCACTTATAGTGCCATATACACTCTTTTAATTCTTTTGAACTCAAAAATCTGAGTGATACAATTGTGAGAGAGAGAGAGGGCCGGCCATAGAGAGAGCAAGGGGGAGAAATTGTGCAATTTTAGCTCAAAGCTTGAATTTGTTATAGATTGTGAGAATCAAAGCTCCTAGGTGAGTATTTCATAGATTTTAGTTTGTAATTTTGTGTATTCAAGCTAGTTGGGTAATCAAGAGTAAGTTTGGCATGAAATTAAGTTGATTTTGTTGAATTTAAAGCCAATAGATGCATGCATGTAGGAAATTGCTATGAATTTCCATGTTTGAGCATAATGTGTATGATCCATGTTGGGTTTTTGGTTTAAGTCTGTGTATTTGATCATCTCTTCACCAATTAAGTTGAGAATATTGTGTATATTTCACATGCAAGTGCAAATCATGGGAGTTTGAGTCTTGCATGTTTGAATCTAGTGTGTTGGTGATGAGTTTGAGTTAATTTGAGACATGCATGTGATTAAATTGTGAAATTGAGCTTCATTGTGTTATAAATTGATGTTTATACCATGTTAGAATATGTATATGTGAAGTTTGAGCCAAATTCATGCATTTGGAACCTTTGAACGTCGAATTGAAGCTCAAGATCATAATCTGAATTTTCCAGAATTTTGATTCCCGCTCAAGCGGGGAAACCAACACTCGAGCGTGAAAATCGTGTTCCCAGTATTTTCTGCAGACATGGTGTCCGCTCGAGCGGGGAGCCATGTAGAGGGCCTTCCGCTCGAGCGCCAGAGTTCGCGATCGAGCGTAATTTTGATGCATCTAGCACTTTTGCATGCCTTAAGGATCCGCTCGAGCGGGGAAGTCCACGCTCAAGCGGGGGCCCTGTTTTCTGAAATTTTGAAAAGAAATTCTGTGTTTCTTTTTTTGTTCTCTTTCACTTTCAAGTACTCTTAGGCATGCATTGAGCATTGTAAATGAGTTAAAGAGATAAGAATCAAGCCTAAAGAGGAAAATGTGAATTTAGAACGGATCGAATTGTTTGTGACCCTTTTGTGTTCATGGAATGTGTAGGGTCGAGCTCCAGGGCAAACCAACCAACCGATCACTGTGAGTAATATCGATATTTTGAAACTTGCCAATGGTCCAGTTGCTTATTTCTTTATAAGCCTTATAAGTGCTAGTTTGAATTATGGGCAAATGTTTGTTATGAATAACTAAATGGGCCAGAGGCCATTTTGACATGAATGAATGGGCCAAAGGCCAGTTTGACATGAATGAATGGGCCAGAGGCCATTTTGACATGAATGGATGGGCCAAAAGCCAGTTTGACATGAGTGGATGGGCCAGAGGCCATTTTGACATGAATGAATGAGCTAGAAGCCATTTTGACATAAATGAATGGGCCAGAGGCCAGTTTGACATGAAAGCTTGAATGGGCCAGAGGCCAGTTTGACATGAAAGCTTGAATGGGCCAAAGGCCAGTATGCTTGGAACTACAGTCACTTGACTTAAATTATGTATATGTATGTTAAATAGAAATATGAATTGGGCCCAAGGCCGTTTGAAGCATGTTGTTCTACATATCGTTTGTATAACTTCTGTATTTGGTATTATTCACTGGGCTATCGCTCACGCTCATTCATGTGTTTGTAGGTGAGCCAAGAGAAGTCCCGACCCAGCCTCAGTGATGTCTGTGTGGAACAACAAAGGTTTTGAAGAGTCATCCCTCGCGTCTCACGCACGAGACCCGTCTTCGCCTTTTTGTCATTCTGTTTTATTTTGTCATGTGGGCGAAGTCTTTGAATATGGTGTATATAGTTTTAATGGGTTGACTTAGACTATTATGATCCTGTATGTACAAAACCTTGTGTGGTACATATTTGGTAGTGAGTTATTAACGTGCATACGTATGGTTTGTTTGATGTGCCATGTAAACACAGCTCTATGGACAAAGTTTTTAATTGCTTCCGTTTGGCCTCCATTACTCTGTTGAAATACGTTTAGATTGGTTTGAGGCCGTAATTAATCTCATGATTACTGGCCAGTTATGTCCTTAACCCATGGGGGCGGGTTCGGGTCATGACACTTATGCTATATGCATGAGAATTCAACAAACCATAAAACTCAGCTCATCAAGTTCTTTTAAGAGAGAATAAACGAATGGGGCAAAGTAACTGAAAAGAAGCACAGACAACAATATGAGGATGGAGTTTCTTGTGATAGCATACTGCTGCCTGCTGCCTGCCGCCTGCCGATGTGCAATGGCACCGTTGATATGGAAACATCAACAAATTATGTAGAAATATACTTGAATTTAAATAGAATTTAGGAAAAATATGGAATTTCTATCTATCATCTATGTTAGATTCTACAAACGTTTCTTTACTAACAAATGTGAGTTTATTATCCTTCAAACATCGTAAAAGTTAGAGGATCCAAGTATTTAAATTGGGAATGAGTGTCATACTCATACACATACTCCACACCCTTCCCTTGTCATATTTGACACAGGTACCTGGGAAGAAATAGAAGAGTCCATGTAACATAGTTGTCAGTCAGAGGTAGATTTATCTGTAGGTGATGCAGCAATTCACATTCTACTTGTAGAGAGCCTTTGTTGATGTTTCCATAAGACATTTATTAACTTTACAAAATGAAGATGATAAGATAGTGAGTGGCTTGAGAAGCAAGAGTGAGGCAACCAACAAGAAATCATGTTAGGGGGTTGCAACAGCAAGTATTTAAGATCTGACCATCTTTTAGAGCTCTACCTTATGGACCTTCTTTCAGGCCACTTAATACACCCCAAGTTCTAGACTGTCTTTCAGGGCTTTTACTTAGGATAATATAAATGGTGTTTCGGACCGATAATATACATTTTAAGTACCAGACAATCTTTTAGATCTCTAACTTGGGGTTCAAAAGATTACAATATGGTCTTATAGTTAAGTATGAAACAGCATCTGATGCAGATGTAGGTAATGCAGCCTTAGTATGTGGGGTAGGCAATATAGCCTCAGGAGATAGTCTAGGCAAAATAGCCTTGGGAGATCGTGTAGGCAATGTAGCCTCAATTGTAAGGTAGGTAATGTAGCCATAAGATTGAGAGATGGTTCACAAAACCTTATGTTATTGTAATCCGTTGTTCCTTCCTCTCAAATAAAAGGAAAGGGGTATTTTATAGGTGGGAGGAGGGGGGTCAGTAAGTTGTTAGCATAAGAATGGCACATGTCCCAAAGGGTCAAAATAGTATGGTCCAATAGGTAAGTGACGTCCCAAAAAGATATTCCAAAATTGCTCTTCAAATCAGCCACTGATACTCACATTTACATAATCTATAACTGTTTTGAATCCTTTTCAATCAATTTGTGAAATTTAAGTTGCTAACATCAATAGAAAAGTATTGATTGAGCTGCATAAGGACAAACTACCATGTTGTGTATGTACATGCCATCTTCAAAGAATTATAGGACACAAACAGGAATGGGGATAAAAAAATTAAAATAAAAGGGAATTAAAAAATGAAAGCTTTTGCGGTTGTAATATATAATACCGAATTGATGATATCCTGGCAGTAGATGGGGCTCATGTAGTACAATACATCATGAACCGTAGCACTCAACATCACACGCAAACCCCGTACGCCGTCCAATGTTATTTTCTCAACTGCAGATTCACCACTTAGCTTCAAGCCTTTCCTCCACTAGAAAAGAGAAAGGGGGGAAAACAAAGAATAAGAAAGAAAACGACACAAGTGATCATGAGTATCAATTAAAAAACCATCCTTTTTATTTTTGATAAATAATCAAACTTTATTAGAATAGCATCAAGGTGATGCAACGAATACAAAAAGACAAACCCACAAAGGACACAGAAACTAACTAATCAAACTATCCACAAAATCTACAAAGGCCAAAACATCCAGATCAACCGAGACCGTAACCCAACTATGTAAGAAGCCTACTATCCAACCACATAATCGAATAAGACACAACCTGAAAGACCCGCCTATTATGCTCCAACCAAACCAACCACATCAAAACAATGGAAAGCAAGCAGCCACGGCTTTCGACATCTTCTCCCAACCTTACCCCCCTCCCCCAACTCTGCAACATATCCACCACAGTGCCGGTTGAACCCAAACCAAACCAAACCAAAAGTCACAACGACAAGCATCCAAAGTCGCAACGCCACCGGAAAATGAATGAGCAAATGATCTATCGACTTCGCAGCACCACAACATAAACAATACCAATTAACCAAAATTTGCTGATGACAAATCAATTCAAAAACCATCCACAGCTAAGAGTGAAGAGTGTTAGATAGCTTGATATACATTGTTGGGCTCATTTCCTAATAGCTTAGGCTTTTGGAAAAATTGGTAACTTAACAAGGTATCAGAGCTCTGGTTGAGAGAGGTTTGGGGTTTAAGTCTCTCCATAGCATTTGGTATTATGTCCCCATTTGGCTCCTTCCTCTCTATTTGGTTATTTGCTTCTCCTTCTGTTTGGTTCTGTTTGTCTCTCCACATGCAAGAAGGGAATGCACGTGAGGGAGGGTGTTAGATAGCTTGATATACATTGTTAGGCACATTTCTTAATAGCTTAGGGTTTTGGAAAAATTGGTAACTTAACAAAAAGGTCAAACAAAATGAATTTGAGTAAAAGAGAGCCAGGAAGAAGAAGAAAATAAACCAGTTTAAGTGGTGAAAAAATTTGAACAACATATAAATAGAACAAGATTAACATACTTCGTCACTTAACAATATACAAAAATAGGGAAAGGCTACCACATGCACCCCAAAAAGGGTGCATATGGCATGCACCTTATACAAAAAGTATTAACTTTTTGCTCATCACAAACAATATAACTTTTTGCTCATCACAAAACGTATAACTTTTGCCACAAAAAAACATAACTTTGCCATTCATAACTTTAGGGTGCACACCATAACTTCACCTTTCATAACTTCCACCACAAAATTGTAACTTTTCTTATGATGTGGATTTAAACATGGTTACATTTTCAGATTCCATTAAGTATAACTGAGAAGTTTGTTATCCCATTTTCTTATGAATCTCATCATAGGATCACAAATTTAGAACAAAAAAACATTGTCTATGGTGAGAGAATATATCGTCTACCTGGCACGGGATGAAAAGGACTCTTTGGGTCCCCAGCTGATATGAACTTAGGTGTCGTTCAGCAAGATTTGTTGTGACTTCGCGAAAAGTAGCCACGTCATCTACCAAATTAGATTTTTCCAACCTTTGACCAATACCATGTACCATAAACACTACATGTTGAACTGGCACCTAGACAAACAATAAAAGGTTAAAGAGTGCAAACTGTGGTCTCCATAACAAAAGCTTATAAAATTCAAATAACAAAAGAATCAAAACTATATTTATTGAGGAATAAATATGAAATTTTCTTATTAAGTGCAAAAAATTGCAGGAATGAGAAAGATCGATATAGCTCAAGTGATTATTAAATACAAAGTAACAGGAATCAATAGCTTAGTTCTAATAGAAACTACATACTTGCTGTAAGAGTAGGATTATTCCATTCCACATGACCCTTTCTCACATGTACAGCCAGCAACATATGGAAATGGTGCCCAGCATATTTTACAAAATAAATTGGTACAATTTGTTGAATGGCTATTGGGGCCATTTCCTAATAGCTTAAGCTTTTGGGACAGTTGGTGATCTAACATAGTACCAAAGCTCATGTTGGGAGAGGTCTTGGGTTCAAGCCTCTTTGTTTGCATTTGGACACTGTTTGCATTCTCTCTTCTCCCTATGTATAGATGTTTTTTTATCTCCACATGCAAGACAGGGTTGCACATTAGGGAAGGTGTGAATGACTTGATATACATTGTTGGGCCGATTTCCTAATAGATTAAACTTTCAGAACAATTGGTGATCTAACACAACTGACCTAATTAAACTGATTCTTAGCGCACACCATTTCATTGTAGAATTATTATAATACCCAACAGCGTGTTCAAGCATCTGCCCTAAATCAAACCTAAAATTTCAAACATGCTACCAAAATTTTCCTACATATCATAAGCTACCTAGAAGTAATGACCCAATTAAAGAACATGATGAGTTGATTTCGTTAGAGAACCAATTCCATCACCAACTCAATTCCAAATGTTTAGCCTCAGATTTTCCTCCATTGAGTTGTATCTAGTGCTATATTTACCTATAATAATTGGCAATATGTATTTTCTCATAGCATGACTCAATGCATTTCGGGGCATTCCACACATAAAGTTGTCCTGTATCACCAAATCACTATGCTTTATCAGTGTACCACCATCTTATACAACTTTCCCTCATTCTGCACATTACTAACCAATCTCCCACAAACTTTCATATGGTAGTGTCAGTAATCCACCATTGGCAATACTCTAAAGCTCAAGACAATAAGCTTGGACTTTATAAGAAAGTTTAATGGGAGATTGTTATGACCTATGAAATATAAAAATGTTGCAAATAATTAGCAGAACACAATAAAACAAACAAGTTGTTAAAATGGCCATGAGCAAAACACTACACCTGTGAACAATAATCATCCATTTCTTCCTCCTTCTGCTGACGTAACTCATCCTGAAGCAACCAAAAAATAATTTCAAGTTTTAGATGTTTCCTTGAGGATGAAAGGGCAAGTGAATAAGCAACACTTATGGCACCAATGACTACAGCATTCACTAATTCAAAAAAAGAATCTACCTTGATAATTTGAATGCAGAAAAAATGAGGGGGAGAAAATAAAACATAATGCTCCAGAAACATTTAATTATAAATTGAAGATTACAATAAGATGATTGTTTTGCATAACGATGTTTATAATTAAAATAGATGCATTTTATATGCAAAAAATTGTAATGAGAAAGTTAAATTCAACCTTAATATGTGCAAGCATACTTTCATGCTCAAACTTGATTTATTGTATTTTGCAAGTGGAAAAAGGAAGCAAGGATGTCCTTGAGAAGAAATGCACTGATATTAGTCCCAAATTCGTGTGGCTGAATATAATCAAATGGTGAGTGGCTCATTATATAGGAGAGGGTGAGTGTAGTAGGTGAGGAGTAGGTGAGGAGTAGGTGGTGGTAGGTGATGGTAAATTGGTGGTAGGTGATGGTAAATTCTAACAAATTATAAATTGAAGATTACAATAAGATGATTGTTTTGCATAACGATGTTTATAATTAAAATAGATGCATTTTATATGCAAAAAATTGTAATGAGAAAGTTAAATTCAACCTTAATATGTGCAAGCATACTTTCATGCTCAAACTTGATTTATTGTATTTTGCAAGTGGAAAAAGGAAGCAAGGATGTCCTTGAGAAGAAATGCACTGATATTAGTCCCAAATTCGTGTGGCTGAATATAATTAAATTACAAAGCATCGATAATATATTAAGTAACATGGAAGTATATACCTGTAGTCCAGGAATCAAAAACTTTAATCCATAGTTGTGGGAAGCAATGTGCAGATCATAGCAAGATTTCGTTTTTTTCAGGCACTTCATACAAATAATTAATAAAGACCTAAATAAGAAAGAAAAGGACCTGAGTTGGTTTCAATGACTGAGATGCAGCATATCCACGCCTTAACATAATGCCATTGCCTCTCAAACTAATCACACTGGAAAAACCAGAGGCATCAACATTTAGCCAAGCCTCCCATGTGTCATCTTCTCCAGTAAAAAGAACATGCAGTCCCTACATGCACAAAACCCAGAGAGACGTATACAGGATATTAATAATCAAAAGAGTGAAATTTGCCCTTTATTGAAAGAAAATACTATACCGGGGTAGAGCCTTGCAAATCAATACGAGATGCAAAAAGTCCTGATGGCTGAAATGTTCGCCGATGCCAAACCTGAAGGCAATAAGACAAGTTCAACCATTTATTCTCCTAACAATTCAAGGAAGGATAGAAAATCCATGAGCCTTAACTTTCAAACATAAAGGAAAGATAAGAAACAGAAAAATAATAGATACAAGTGGCCTCCAAAATTGGAGACCCATCCTGTAGACTTTTTACAAAATATAAATATATAAATAAATAATCTGCAGAAATAAGGCATCCTCAAGAATCCAAGCCAATTACTCCCCATTTTGGCATTCATGTTGTGTTTCCCTTTTTTAATGAAACTGAAATAGATATTTATTATGATCCCACACAAAATACTGAGAAGCACTAGTAACTATAACATAGAACTAGGGGTGGCAATGTTAACCCAAATCCATCAATCCATCCAAACCCACCCAATATAAATAAGTAAAATCCCAACCCAATATAAATGAGTCAAAACCCAACCCAATTAAAATTTGAGTTCAAATGAGTCTTGACCCACTTATACCAATTTAAAATTAATCCCAAATGGACAAGTATTAAGATAAAAAAAAAAACAATGCCCAGATAGAACACATAATTTAATGTGTATTTGGGAGGAGAAAGATTGGGTACACACCTAACCTTTAGCATGGACAAGTATTAAGATATCCAATAAATACCCATTAGATAACCTGACTCGACTTATTCTTTTTCTTTTACCACCATTGTCACCCTACCACCACAGCGCTGCCACCACCACCTTATCATCACTGCCACCAACACCAACACCGCTACCGCCACATCAAAAAATTTTGGTTTCTTACAATCCAAATTATCATAGCAGCTACCCAGATAGTTAATTTTCATCAACTGTACCCTTCTCGCCACATCAATTTTTTTATTTTTATTTTTTTTCCAGTAAGGAATGATAAATCACTCAAAGTTATCAATGGTGCACAGAAGCTCGCAGCCACAACTGAAGTATCAATGTGAAATATGAAAGAAACAAAAAGACAAAACTGAAACAAAAAGACAAAACTGAAATTAAAAAAAAAAAAAAAAAATTCCAAACATCTTCCAGATGACTTAGTGGACTGGGACCATCTACAAAGCACAAGCCACGTGGCTGAAGAACATGTTCGCAAACTCTCCCTCCCTCTGTCAAGCCTTCTTCTTGTTCCATTTACGTCTCCATCTTCAATTCCAATTTTACTACTAAGTCATCAATTGTATAAGCTTGAAATCAAAGGGTACCTAATGTTTATTGGGCCTATGGGTGGAAGTTACATAGATAATAGTTGCTGCTACCACAAAATTGGGGAGGTCAGTAGGTGCCCGATGGCATTGGTGGTGGTAACGAGTGGTAGTTATTTTATATGTGAATATAAAATTGAATTAATGGATGGGTTGGATTGGGTAAGAGTAATAATTATGTAGTAAAATGGGTAAAAATTTAGTAAATGAGTAATTAAAATTTTAAAAACTCGACCCATTTATGACTAGCCCAAGCCCGTCCGTTTGCCACACCTACATAGAACCCACTCAATTGATAACTTAAACAAAGTACCAAATCCTAAACTGTTTCAAACCTGGCTGCGATACGCAAACTCCAACTGTTCACTGACATCTTCACGCAGTGGAAGCCAATCGAGCCCCCCTTTACGAGCAAACCAATGACCTCTTAAAACACGCCGATTTTCTCCATTCCAGTAAACAGGAAAGCAATGTCTTTTCACTAAATCTACCTGCCATGCGAATCAGTCAGAAAAACAAATATTCTAAGACGTACCTAGTATTGGTATTTTGTGCAGCACCAAAATCCATATTCATAGAACGGAAACTAGAAAAGAAAAGAGACAATGAATCAACCCTAACAACATTTCTCCTTTTACAATTGTATTTCTAAGAATATTCCAAAAATCATAATACATGAATGTGCATGCTAGAAAATAGCAAAGAACCAAAATAAACAAGTATAAAAAAATGAAATATAAAATAGAACAAAGTAAAATAAATTACTGAGACTTATCATAGAAGGTTTGGGGGAAGAAGACACAAGCTAGGATTCACCACTTGGCAATATGAAATAAATCCAGATGATGGTGTCAATAAGAACCAAGTATTACATATAATTGATAGATAGGTAGATAGGTAGATTTATAGATATTAAATCCACCTTCTTTAAACTTTCGAACTAAGTATTATGCTGTATTTTTTATTATTTTTGAAGAAAATATTCATATATATATATAACATATAATAAATATATAAAACTATATATATTGCAAATGCCCTCACGTGTCATGTCTTGCATTTATTTAAAACTATAGTGTCAGCATGTTTTTGTCGTGTCACATGTCTGTGTTCATGCTTGTTAAATTATAATATTAGAAAACCAACTATGATAGTGTCATTGTAAACAAGTCCTTGTGGTGAAGAACCAGAAAAGGGGATGGAGGTGAAGGATGAGAAAGAGAAGGATATATATATATATATATAGAGAGAGAGAGAGAGAGAGTGCGAGCATTTGCTGACTCGGGTGCTTCATACATTTAGAAGGGTCCATGTAACATAGATAGACACTATACAATAAGACAAAAATGGCACGAAAACAACATAAAAAAGATAACCATCGTGAATTATTCATGATGCATAATTTGACAACTACAATTCTTGGGATTCAGGGTGGTGAACACTGTAAATGGAGTTATTAAAACACAACAAAATCCTCATGCAAAATTCTAAATCAAGTTCTTCACACCTGACACATGTATCATTAACAAGGGGGCAAAATATAGAAACAGATACCTCATACAAACCTCCCTTCACAGGTACACCAACTCTTTCTTCTTCAAATTCATATAGTTGGGATGATTGTTCACTCTCTAAATAAGATGATTTTGGTTGTGAATTCAATTTAGAACTGGAACTAGGATGGCCCATAGGACCTTCACTACATTCCGCATACTCCTTCCACCAACTAGAAAGCAATTCTTCCTCTCTCTGTAGATGGATATAACAAACAAAACCTTAGGGCATGATGTGTATGGTGCTCATGGTTGTATCTACATTGAACTAAACCATTTATGTCACTTGAGATAAATGGACTTGTTTCTCTCAATTATACCTGTTGACGCCTTTTTATGTGCATTGAATTAATTTGGGAAAGCATGATCATAGGACTTTTGATGGGGTGGGAGAGCAAATTTTAAAGCTAAAAATTATAATTTTGAAGTATTTAGTTGGTTCTCAAGTGTTAACCATCCTTAAAACCAATTTTGGGTTTTGTAGAATCATTTGGGTATAAAATAGTTGTATATGAAATTTTGGTGTTTACTTTGTTTCTCTCGTGCAGGCACCCCCTGTTATCATTTACATATAAAAAAAATTAATTATAAAAAAAATAAACAATAAACAAATAAATAAATAGATAAATAGAATTTAATTGGTTTCTGAACATCATTAATCAGATGCAGACCAATATATTCCTGGGAGGAGATCATGCCAACTAATTGATGCAATGAAATCTGAGGTCCGACTAAGATAATTGAGAATTTGACAACATCAACTACATAAAGAACATAACCAGGAGCCAGATAAGATGACCTGCAAGAAAGATGCCTCTATTGCAAGAGAATCCCTCATGGCAAACCGAAAATAATCACCCTTTCCCACTATTTCAGTGCGAGGGAGTGAGGCAGCCAGCTCTGCAGAAACACAAAAGCAACAAGATACCTTTGAGATATAGACATGCATTTAAAGATCTAATGCCATGAAATAAGAATCTTTATGGAAAGAAGAAAACAATGCAGTCAAATAAACTGAATATTTGGTCAATAAATTCGCACAACAAGAAAATTTTAACAAAAAAATCCCTAGATATGTTTTAGCCAGATGCTTCTGTCTTAAAGTACCATGTGTATTAAATAATCAAATTCTTAATAGTTACAATTCTAAACATGAGATAAGGGTAGGCTTACATATATCACTATTAGAATTTAAGGTACTTCTATTACCAAAAAAAAAAAAGAATTTAAGGTACTTCTAAATGTGAAAGCAATTTTCTTTTAACCTATGTTACACGAACTCAGGTGGGTGTCAGGGGCATATCTATGGGGTTAGATCCATCAAACCTATAATAAGAAGGGTATGTGGACATAACAAAAAAGGATAATCTAATTTTTAAATTTTTAATAATTTTTTAAGGATAAAATGATGTTTATGTAGTGAAAAGTGTCACAAAAGGCACTTTACTCATTTTATAGCAATTATGCAACAAATATACATATAATGCTACAATTAAATAACAAGTATTTGATGGGAAGTATCGAACATATATCCCACACCACTGTTCGAGTGTAATGTCCAACATGGACACTTGATTTATTTTTGAAGCGTCCATGTAACATAACTTTTAGAAATTAGACATTTTATAAAACCCAATCTATTATATTTCCAATAAATCATGTAAAAACACATTTTTGGGAGCATTGTGGCCAATTTTTTACATTTTGTCTACCCAAACCTCACCCTCTTTAGATTTTAATTCATTATATTTTATTTTTTATCCTTCTATCCTAAGGAAATAAATAGTACAAAATTTTATAATAAAAGTATACCATGTTTTGGATTGCTAACTTCACCATTGTCGAACAAAAATGTACCATGTTTTCAACCTTACATTCCAAAACATAAATTACTAGGGTTTTAACATTTTCTAGTAACAATAGGGGAGCCCCAGGGCCCCAAATTGCTCTCAAACTAGGACATGTGCATACAACTAGAGGCTCATGAAATGAGTTCACCTAAACGCAAATTGACCTTAAAGTATTCCTCACAGCAAATCCTCCCCATTCCCAGTTATAAATTTTATCAGGAAAAGAAAACAATATTAATTACAAAGTAGCTATGAAGTTAGCTTCGCCCAAGCTGACAAATTTCCCTACCTCTCTCCCCAGGTTCCTAGATCAAATTTTGAACCTGGTTGATTAGCAATCCATTGGAGTTCCAATGGAAGGTCAATAGAGTACATATTGATTGCTTCAATGCTTGTGAAATTTAAGCCAAAGAATGAATTGAAGCATCTACCATCTAACAAATAATAACTAGGTGTGATTTGCCTAAGAGTGAGCTTCTTTATTTGTTTACTATAAAATAACTGTATATATGTTCAAAAGCTCATCCCCACACCATCCGAAATTCCAAAAACATAACTCCACATTCATGTGTCTTAACAAAAACTCGAATTCATCTAATTCACTCTGCTTTTTTTCTAAGCACACACCACAACTCACCTCAATACAACCAGACATCTCCTTCCTCCAAACTTCAATGCCAAACAAACCCCTTGAACATTATGCCATTGCAATTAGGCTGTGTTTGGTTCGTGGAGTTGGGGAGGGATTTGAAAAGGAAACGGAAAAAGGTAGGTGAAATGTAAATACCTTTTTCTTTTTCCTTTCTAAATCTCTCTCCAAACTCATGAACCAAACACAACCTAAAGGTCCAAGTGCCATTCATGAACACCGTCCAGGCATAGTTTATAGACTGACATGAAAGTAATTCTTGCTAAGACATAATTAAGCTTTGATAACCACAAAGGCAACGAGCTTATTTGCAGGATTTTCAATCTTTTACTAGAAGCATGGCATTTGTAAATTGTACTAATATCTTGTGATTGCTCAGTTAATTGGGTTTTATAAAATATTCTAACTGCTGCATCACTGAGATTTTCAAAACCCAGTTTGAATCTTCTTCTTTCATTAGTAATGCTCAACTTTATAAGTAACTAATCAGCAAATAAAAGATAGTGTATCATTGAAATTCAAATACACAGCAACAAATTGACTTACAACTCACCATTATCTCCTAAAGGGACCTTGCAAAAATACCAACGAACATCACCCCCATCGGATGGACTTGTCGTCTGGGTGAGATACTTCTGCCGACCCTCACACTGCTGTATCTCATTCGCCAATCTCCTTATATTCGACGGCGTGTTCTTCAGCCTTTCAGGGTTAGTTTCTTCAATCCCATGAGAACTAGTAGCTTCTGGAACAGAAGCCCCAGCTTCAACTTCACATTTTCCACTAATTCCATCCATCAAACCAGTTCTCAAACAAGTACAGTATCAACTTGAATTGCTCAAACTATCAAATTGCGAACTAAAATAATTCTCAATTGAATCAAATACTAGCTTTTAAATGAAAAATCACGTGAATTAAACCATACCCATTCTGTGTAAATGGGTATGGTTTCGAACTACCAATTAAAATTCAAGAAAAAGGGTACAAAATTTTTAAACCAAACAGCACAAGGAACCCTAATTCTTTTAGTTGGAAATGAGAGAAGTTTACAGAAGGAATCGGAAGATAGTTTGGTCAAACCAAAATGAAATCGAAACTACTATTATATATGCATATATAATATAATTGTTGTTTACATAAATGAAATTGAAATGTGATGGGTATGAAATAATTGGAATGATCGAAATTGAGAAATATGGGAGAGAAAGCAACGAGAGAGAATATTCGAAGGAAAAACACAGCTCGGCGTTGAATGACTGGTTGGAACAACCGACCGGCGAAGACACGAGCCGAGGAAAATTACCGTTCCAACCCCTCTCTTTTTTTATTTATTTTTTAATATATTTTTTTGGGTCTGTCGGTGATCCGATTTCAATTATTATAGCGTGCTTGATCCGATCCAATATAACCAGATATCCAACAGCCTCCGGACCGAATTTAGACCCGAGTGTGTGTTGTTCGGGCTGTGGAGTTTATTGGCCTTCTTTCAATGATTTGAATACTTTATTTTGTAAGATAATTCGTGCATATCTTTCACCCAAAAAAAAAAAAATGGTAATTGTATTTATCACATTCTTTACCAAAAAATAAATAGTTTACTTTTTAAAATACAATTATTGTCTATTTTTTTTAATTAAATACTTTAAATTAAATAAATTATGATTATATAATTAATTTAATTTTTTTATGGATAATATACACAAAAAATCATATAAAATGAATGATATAAATAATTAAAATAAGATTCATGATGGACCTTACAAATCCAAACAACAAAAAATTAGTAAAAATCCATCTTCAACTTTGTGTGGTAAAAAAGGTTCAAATTTTATTTTTATTTTTTTATTAGCTAATGACTCTTAACATTTTCACAGTGAAAATTCAACTTAGATAAATTTTGCCCAACTTAGAAAATTTTCAACCCCAACGCATAGGAATTTTGAAATTTCTTTGTGAAATTATAAAAATTTCACCCGACTTAGAGAAATTTCAAAATTTTTTTGTATGATCACTGAGAAATTCAAGATAAATTTTGAAATTTTTCTGTGAAAATTGAAATTTCTTTGAGTTTAGACAAAATATCTCTTAGTCAAATTTTCTCTGTAGAAATGTTGAGAGACCTTAACTATTATGAAAATATTGTGTACCTTTTATCTTATAAAATTTTAATATCATGAACCTTAAAAAAAAAATTCCCTCCAAACAATAAGTTCTAATCGAAATTGTTTAAGTGTTTTTTAAATAAAATATTAATTAACTATGTTATAGATTTATATTTTATTTTTATAATCAATGAGACATTAAATAGATTTGAACTAAATATTTGAATAAATTTAAGGGGTAAGCTCCTCTTATGTTGACATCTCAATATGAGAGAACTTGAGGACCCTATAAAGCCAACCACGTATTCCGTTTCAATGATCCATGTCACAACCCAAACCTGTCCATATAGGTTTAACGTCGTAACCAGCCAATAATCCGAGATTACTAGAGGCCTTCCTATACAAATCAAAATAAACAGGGCTAGTTGAAGCAATATACAAAAATACCAATAGTCTACTGAGTTGTGCATCTATATGAACAAACATGGACATATATAATCGTTAAGTACCCACATACATATACATATCTTATAACAGAATGTCTTATACAAAACATATGCACATGTCAAAAGTGTACATCATGATCAAAAGCTTGACAGTGTCCTTCCAGGCCTAGCCTCAACTTGAAGGCACCCAAAACAACTCGGTGTCAAAATGGTGGCTTGGCTAAAGACCCTTTCTAAACTTGTCCTCCAGAATGCTCACCTATACATATACATAAAAATAATGAGTTAAAGTCTAGTGAGTAACATTAAAGTAAAGGGATTAGTGAACGAATTCCAAATATAACATATCCACAAAACAAATCATGACACAATCATTCATATCAGTCTCATATTGGAACATAACATAATGGTACATCCCACAAAACGTATCACGTATCGTCTTCCGACTAGAGTAATCGGTTCTGAATACTGATTAAACACATATCACCACAATAAAGTGGCTAACGAGATCTCATATCACATATATGTCATGGACCCGCATTTATATGTCGTCCTCCATGACTTAGGACTACCTGTGGATACCATAATAGATTTGCAAACAGGACATTCGTTCACGTATCAAAATAACATTTCAAAAACCATAGCTTATCAGATAACCATTTAAACATATACTATACAAATATATTTTTACAGAAATGTTACTCACAGTGGGCTTTCAAATCCGATTGTTCGGTCTTCGAGTCTTGACCTACAAACACAAACATTCATAGCACAATTTCTCAATACACATTCGAGTCATTCAGTTGATTCCAAACCTTATTTGGTTATCCGCTACTTGTTCATTCAGTTACTTCTATTATTCTTTTAATTTCTTTCATGCTTATAAAATGCTAATAGATGTAAAATATACTTAAAAATCATGTAAATGAAAGCTCGAAAGTTAGAAAACATAAAGAAAACAAAATTAGGAAAAACTGTCCTGTTTGGCCGCTCGTGCGGTGGCCTTGGCCGTACGAGCGAATGAACTTCAAAATCGAATTTTGGCCAAAACAGGGTTAGCCGCACAAGTGGTGGCCCAGGCTGCTCGAGCGGTCTGGGTACATTTTTAGTCCACAAAATCTGCTTTGAAACGAAATTCAATCTTTTGCAAAATCAACTTCAAGTTCATGAAAAGCAAGACCCAAAACTCATGAAACATGGTGAATGATCAATTTATAGCTTCAACACAAAATCATGGTTTCAAATCAAACTAAATTTCTATGTAGAACAAAGCAAACATTTGAAAGGAAATGTAAATCTTCAAACCTTGCATTATTGAGTTGCAAAACCTCAACTCCATAGAGTTTCCTTTTCATTTGAAAATTGATGCAAGAAAACAAATGATTAAACATGAAAATGCTATGAATTATTACAATTCCTCTTTTTAAACTCATGTGAGTTCTAAATAACAATTTACATTACTCAACTATTTAGCTTGATAGCTGTCAAGGGTAATACGACTTAGATTCCTGAAATCAGAAGGAAAATCTTACCTTGGATGGTTTAATTGTTGAAGATTTAGCTTAAATCCCCCTGTATTCTTCTCATTCCTCTTTTCTTTTCTTTTTTTCTCTTAGTCTTAGTCTCTAGAAGCCTCTCTTTTAGTTTTTTATTTTGTGTTGAGTCTAACACCAAGGCTCATATATATCTATCTTTATCTAAATGTATAAATGATGAACCAAACACAACTTAGTGAATCAAACGAAATTAATTTTTAATTAAACTTCCCAAATGGTTCTAAAAATTTCCATTAGTCTATCAATGTACTCCATTCAATTTTTTGAACCCATTAAAGTCATAAATTTCAGTTCCAAAGTCGTAGCTCCAACAGATATTTTTCCAATTCAGATAGATTTTCTCAAATTAGTTCATATTAATGCATAATTAAATAAAGATAAATGTGACACGCATTTTGGGGCCGTTACAATCCAAACCGTTCATATTTTATGACTCGTTAGTTAAAATATTCACATAAAAATTAAGATAATCTGATATGGGTAGTTATATGTTTGAATAAATAATATGTTACAAAAAATGAATGGTTATTGTTGAAATTATATTTGTAGTACATTTTTTTAAAATAAATATGATTCAAACATATAGTTATTAATACTTAACTATCTTGATTTTTTGTATGAATATTTTACTCAAAATATCTAAAAAAGTAAACGGTTTAGATTACTATAATTGATTTCAAAATGAATCTATCAAACTAAAATACTATTTCAAATTGAAATGATAACTTGAAAAAATCAAATCTCAAAATTTAATTGATAGTCAGACATTAGGTAAACTTTAATTTATATATTACCGATCTATTAAATTCAATCAATAATTTATGAATTAAATAAATAAATTAACAATAGTTTAGTGGTAGAAATTGAAATTAACCTAGAAGATAATACATTAATATATAATTTCAAAAATTAGATGGGGGATTCTTGTAATTGTGAAATTCCTGAGGGAATATTCGTGTAATTAGCCCATTTTATTTCAGCGAGCAATAGAACGAGGCATTTCCCTAAATAAGCCAAAATAATAAAGGAATTCCCAAACTAAGCCTAGTTTTGAAAGATTTCCCAAAATGAGCTAACTCGCGGTTCACAATCGCGAGTTCAACACTTTTCCACCCCTGTCGCCTGAAACCTGCCAAAATTTAAACTCGCTGTTACGAAAAGCGAGTTTGATTAAGAACTCGTGGTTACGAAACGCGAGTTTAATTAAATTTTTTTCCTTTGAACTCGCTTTTTACAAGCACGATTTCATGCTGAACTCGCTTTTTGAAAACACGAGTTCATCAAAAAATAGATTTCTTCTGAACTCGCTGTTCATAACCACGAGTTTAGGGCAAATTTTTTTTCTTTAAGTGAAATCGTGGTTCACAACCACGATTTTAGAACTTATATTTAACCCCCCCAGCCCCGTGTTTTGCATTCACGCTTTCTCCTCTCGCCCTCTGCTGTCTCTCTCTCGCTCTTTACTTTCTGTTCTCTCTCTCTCGAGCTACCTGCTCTCTCTCTCTGGAGCTCGCTGCTCTCTCTCTCTCTCGAGCTCCCTCTGATTGATTCAGTACTGTCTCTCTCTCTCGTTGGTATGGCTTCTATCATCTACTTTACTGTGAATAAATTAGGATTAGAGTTTATATTTGTGAATATATTTTTGTTTGTGAAAATGTGAATAAATTAGGGTTAGGGTTCATGAATGTGGGGTTAGGGTTAGGGTTTATATTCGTGAATAAAAT